TAATTCTAAAGGTAAACTTTTTCTCGCTTACAGAAGTGGAAAAGCCACAGGTTTTATATGGTAGTTACATGTTTTCTAATGTATAATAAAATGCATACCTATTAAGATAAACCAATGGCCTATAAACCACCTAATATCTCACACACTGTACTTTCAGAAACACTAAACTATATAAGGATAAACCTAAACTTATATTTACCTATTATGTTCATGCTTTAGCTTTTCCTTCCTAGTTTCCAGATGTAGTCTCACATCTCTATAAGTTTTAACATCTTATTTACTCAGCCTTTATATCACGATTATCATTGTTCCTCCTATTTTTAGAAAAATAATACCTAACATGCCTATCGGCTATGTTTTGTAAGTGCTGTAAAAAATAGAGCTAGTAAGGGTAAGGTCAAATTCCACAGCATATAAGTTAGAGAAACTCTATTTTTTAAAATTTCCCAGCCTAAAATAGAGGTGGCCAACCTGAAGTCACTGATCTTATGATAGTGAAGGTGAATAAATAATATGCAAGATAGATCATTATCTTCAGAATTAACAAAATGAGTGTTCCCCAGAGCACTGTCTGTTGGCCTCATGGGACAAAACGTTTCTTAGCAGACCAACGGTAAAATCACATCTAAGAGGACCCTTTTGGTTCATCTAAGTACTCTTAGATTTGCCCTGAAGTCTATGACACATGAGATCTATAGGTGGTATATAGGGGGAATATAAATAATGTCTAATAAAGAACTTTATCCAATCTCACAAATCAATAACTGGGAAAACATGGTATTAAGTCACAAACTTCAAAAGACACAGTCCTGACACACATTCTCAATACACAGACATTGGCTGTTGAAAACAGTCTCCAAGAGTCTGGCCACAGAACCAATGTCCTGGGCATGGCCCTGGTGCTCGCCATGCTTGCAAAGGCGACAGATGCCACCGAGCACAAGTGGATTGTCCAGCACCCGAGCTAAGAGGAACAGAAATAAATAGAAACATAGCTGGTTGGAAAATAGCAAGAGAGCATCTGAAAGCAGTTTAAGAAGGGAATGTACACAACTTCTTCCCCTTGGCAAGAAAAAACAAAGGACCAAAGAGAACCACAAAGTGGATTACAGATAATTTCCAAAGAGTCATTCAAGGAATAGAAATTACTGCTCAGGAATCTTAAGAGAAACAGACTGTATAGGGGTTTATTAATTAATCTCCTTCCAGGTTATAGATGGGCTCACTTAGAGGAGACAACAAACCATGTGGTCTCCATATTTGGCGAAAGTAAAAAGTAGGCATAGCACAACACAACACAAAGAATTATGAGACTCATAAGCCTGAGAAAAATGCCATCATGACTTTGGATGGCACGTGCACCAGAAAATTCACTGCACTGGGAATCAGAGGACCTTCAGTCTAGTTTCATGCAACAAATTAAACCAGTGTGACTGCAGGCAAGTCACATGATATCTCTGGTTTCAGTTTCCTTATCTGCAAAATGAGCATACTGGGTTAATATATGAACCAAAGAAAAGTATTAATACAAGTGTAGGCTTGGGATTCAGATTTTGTCTTTGTTACTTACAGTTTGAGTGACTTTGGACTAAGTCTATGCCTTGGATTCCTCATCTATAAAATGAATAGTATCATCCCCACAGCTTTGTTGAGGAAATTGAATGAGTTAATACATCAAAAGGCCCTGACTCAATTAGAATTAACTGTTGTGGATTTTGGGGGGTTGTTTTTTGTTTTTTGGTTTTTTGCTGCTGTTACGTGTAAGTAACAGAAGTCCACTCTGCCCGATTATGCAGAAAAGGAGTTCATTGAATGTTTGTGGAAACTTTGATTTGGAGAACTAGATTTAAGAGTAAGTGTTCAGGAAGGTTTTCAAGGTTTTTAGGAAACCACATTGCAAATCAGGAATGATAAGAAAATGTATCATGGGGTGCTCAACACTGAAGTTTGCACCGTTATGATTTCTGCACCAGAACTCAATTTTACTTTATTGCAACCATCACTATCCGAGCTGAAAAAGAAGCTGGAATAGCAAGTATTTGGCCTTTTTTAACTCTTGTAGAAAAATGCAATTTGGCTCAGATTCCCTGGATGTATAAAAAGGTCAGATGCCAGGTGGCCAAAATGAACTCAGTGCATTTGATCTCATGCTAAGATTTATTGCTTACAATCATTTATGGAAGTTTGGGTGGTTTTATTCATCATCAAGAAGATGGTGTACATCATTTCTTAAAGACTCTATGATCCCATAGTGAATGGCTTAAAATATCTGTGCCAGAGGGACTTTCAAATACTCTTGATATATAAACTGAGTTACTAGGTAGGCGTAGGATCCAGTATGTGAATTACACCCACTGGATTTATAGTTAGAATTACGTCCCCAATGTTTAATTTACATAGTTGAAAGTTTCTATCTATTTATGTGCTAGGAGAGGGAGTAAATGGTTTCCAAGTCTTTGATTAGAAAAATAAAAGTTCCCAAAGTTTAACGAACATTCTCTCAGGAGAAACAAAAACCTATATTCTTTCTCTCTGAGCTATTAATACATTTGTGCTACTAGGGGAATGCATCCCAGGAGAAGGACATCAGCCAGGAGGGGAAAGAGCCATTATAACTGGGCTTTATCTATTTAAAACTCCTCAACTATAAAAACAGGGCCAAAAATACTAGCACTCCAGCTCCCAACTGTCCTTTCTGAGTAATGGACAGCTATTCTAATTCCATGACTAACGCCCAGCACTGTCTTAAATTGGCCTGGGCTGCCACCACTGGTGCATTCCAAGCCCAGTGGGCGGTTCGTAGAGCAGATTTCCCCTGTGAGTGGACTTCAGGGTGTCTCTGAACCATCCAGACTCTGTAATCCCAAAAAAAATACCCTTGGGGAATTTTTGTCAAGTGTTTATAGAAACCACAGAAAGACAATTAATAAGCTTTCCTGCCCAATCTTCTTGGCTTCTATAGCAGATAATCCTCCTATTAACGGGATGTGCACAAAAGAGTTCGGTGATATTTTTAGCAATTTTAGCAAGAAAGAAAATTGAAGGGAAAATTCAAAAGGTCAGTCTGTTGGTTGCCTATTTACTTTGAAACTATCAGACAAAGCCTGTCAAATCAGAAATTCTGGAATAGCTGCTTTAGTATTATGGGATGAAAATTTGTTTTTTTTCAAACTGAAGAATAAAAATACTACCAAATTTATACACATTTATTCCAGTGATCCATTGAGTAGACTTCTAGACCTCTAGACATTTAGCATACAGAAATGGCCTCAAAGGGGTCGTCATCAACAAAATGGTCAGGGTCAGACAAAGCAGGTGGATTTTTAGTTCGGCAATAGAAATATCCCCCCTGATAAGCAACAGACATCAACTATGTCCTTCCAAAATGTGTGTAATAGAATGATTGGAAATTGGAAAGGATTTTAAATGCAGCAGAGAGTTTGCAATTTAATGGCATGATCTTTTTTTTTTCCTGAATGAGTATGTAAAGGTATGGATCTGTTATAAACAATTAGGCTTCCATATAACAAGGCAGATGTGGGGATTAAACTGATGGTCTCTGAAACCAGACTGCCTGGGTTCAAATCATGGCTTTACCTCTTCCCAACTACGTGACCTCAGCAAATTACTTAATCCCTTTGGGCTTCAGGATTTTCTGTGAAATGAGAACAGCAGTAGTCTTTAATCCATTGAACAGTGACAACAGTGTCTGGTGAGTGGTAAATGTCATACAGGTTTTGGTGAGAAAATAAGTAACTAGAACTTTTAATATATCTTTGAAAATATCAACTTCATGTTTTTCAGAAAACTCTTGGTTGAGATAGATCTCATTGAATCCTTAAGACATTTTTTCCCCTGGAAGAATAAAACATTTCATTTCTCAGTGGTACAAAAGTTATCGTTGCTGCTAGATGATTCCACAAGAATATAGGAGGAAGGAAAAACGCAAGAGCTCTTGAGGCAAATATTAAAATATTTAGTGAAATAAGTAAACACCCAGTTGTTTGGAGGCAAAAAAATAATTGAGGTAGAATACCTTTCTGACACCTTTTTTTAGTTTAAAGCAATATGATATAAATTAAGAATAAAAAAATGATCACAACTCTCCAGTTGTGACATAATTTACACTGTGAACCAAAAGCCTTTGTGCTAATACTTCTAAAATAATTGAAAAAGTCCCAAGTTGCTGTATATAAAGATTTAACAGTGAAACTGGAAGCTGCTCTACCTTTGATTTTAAACAAACTATCATATAAAACAATGTCTTTAAACAACTAACATATGACTTTTAAGAATACACATAGAAAAGCAAACAAATTTAATTTCGAGTACCTCACTGGCTACCCACAACAGGAGCCAGTCCACTTCTTCAGATGTTCATCTTCACAATGTTTCTATTTAGGGGCTCACATGGCCTTGCTTGGCACATGAGACAGCCCAAATCGAGGGGGCCAAGAAGAGAACTAGTAACTATTGACTGCATATCACATGTCTAGAACAGTGCCATGCATATTTGATGTATTATCTCCTTTAGTCAAAAAGCCAATACTATCCCCTCTTTGATTATGATAATACTGAGGGTCTAAGAAATTAAGTCATTTGCCCAAAGCCCCAAAGCTAGTGAGTCATGGAACCAGGCAGCCCAGCTCCAGAGCCCTTACTGACGCCCCGCAGAGACTCCATATTACAGCAGGGCCCTGGATTCACAGCACAGTCAGAGCCTCTGATAATCAGGCTTTGGTGAGTTTGAATGACAATAATTAATCTGTCCAGCACTTTATGTGTTTTCACAACACTTCTCACAAGCAAGTTGCTGAAGCACAGAGCATGGTATTAAAATCCCCATAAAGGAGAACTTGATTTTATCCTCTGACCAGTTCACTATTACCTGTCAATGATAAATAGGTTCCTTATCATGATCCTGAAAATAATTGAGGAACTTGAACTAAAGGTTTTATTGTTTTCTTCTCTGCCTCATACAATCCACCTGGAATTTGCAGGAAAATGGACAAAGAAAATATGGCGGCCCTCCACCGGGCTGGGATGCTGCACCCCCAGAAAGAGGCTGTGAAATTTTTATTGGAAAACTTCCCCGAGACCTTTTTGAGGATGAACTTATACCACTATGTGAAAAAGTGAGTCCAAAATTTAATATCTTTTCTTATCTTTCAAGGGAAAAATATTGCACACTTTGTTTAGCACTCATTCGTCTTGGTCGGTGGTGGCTTCTCTTCCAATTGCCATTCCTCAACATGGACAGAGTCAAAACCTTCCTGTTAGTGGCTGTCCCCTTATTGTCACTGTAACAGGAAGACGTAGCTCTTCCTGTTATTTGATTGCTTGAACTACTGCTGCTGCTAACTTTCAAATTCTGATCCTTGATCTGTAGAGATGCACTGAGTTTGAGGCAAGATCCCATTCTATAATAATACAACAACCTCTCCAGAATAAGACATTGCTCCAACTTGACCTCTTAATATGGCTTCCTAAAGCGTACCATGTTCCCATTCAAAGAGTGTGTGTGTGTGTTTGTCATGGCTCAAAGGTGTACCTAGACACTGACTCAGAATGAAATTTCCTTCCACAGGTTTGAATTTGTCTGCCCTAGTGCATCAATAAGATTAATAATGTGCTTTCTCAAAGTCATTATATAATTAAGGAACATGTCCTTAGTTGTAATTCCAAGTCACATATGGTTACTAAACCCAAAGTTACAGGGAGAACAGAAAATTAAAATTTATTTTCAATATTTTACCAAGCTGTGTTTCAACAACCACATTCCTGGAAAATTTAGAAAAAATCTAGTCTGGTTATTTCTTTCCCTAAATGCCAAAATCAGTTGTGCGTATGTGTATAACTCAGCCTCAGATTCAGAACTGCTCCTAATTTTATATGAATGACATCACTTGGCACATGCACAAATTATAAGGATTTAATCCTTTAAGAATTTTATGTACTGAACTTGAAAATGAGCACCACGAAACATCTGAAACAGATGAAGCATGCTTGAACTCTTTCTGAATGAGCCCGGGATAGATAAACGTCCACCACTGAGTACCCTGGGGTGGGGGAGGCTGGGTCAGGAGGTAACCAATCACTGAGGTAATAGCACACATTTAATAACACCTCTTCTGGGGATCCCTGGGTGGTGCAGCGGTTTAGCGCCTGCCTTTGGCTCAGGGCGCGATCCTGGAGACCTGGGATCGAATCCCACATCGGGCTCCCGGTGCATGAAGCTTGCTTCTCCCTCTGCCTATGTCTCTGCCTCTCTCTCTCTCTCTCTCTCTCTCTCTCTCTCTCTCTCTCTGTGTGTGTGTGTGACTATCATAAATTTAAAAAAAATTTAATAACACCTCTTCTTCCTGCATATGCCTCTCCTATCTATTAGGGCCACTCATCCTACGGTGGCCAGCAAGAATAAATTATTGAGTCTGGTTTATCACTCTGAGAATGATAACAGATCTCTATATTTATTTTTATTTAATTGGAGATAGATATCTGCGATTTTTAGATATTAGTGATGTGCGAGGAGCAGGAAAGGGCGGTAAAACGAAGAAGAGCTTTGGTGACCCAGGAGTGTTGTGAGGTAGGGAGAGGTGGAGTTGTACGGGCTCAGGTGCGGGTCACTGCGGTGGGAGGTCAGGGTAAGTGGGATGGTGTTGTTTTTTAATGATGTACTGATGATAAAGTTATAATAAATAGATTAAAGATTATTAAATGATAATTTTGTTTTAGTTGTTGTATTTTAATGTTATAACTTGATGAAAATCTTATTAAGTATTATATATGATAAATTGATGATGTGTGTAATGGTGGGTGTTAGGAATTGTTTTGATGAATTGAATTGGTTATTGAATGGGGGGATTGGGTGGTTGTTTATGGATGGAGTAATTTGAGTGTTTTAGTATGTTTAGGTGTGATTTGTATTTATTTGATGATTTTTGAGAGGAGGGGATGAAAAGTGAGAATAGTGGAGATAATAACGGTTTGAATGGAGGTGAAGGTGTAGAAGGGGGGTGAAATGGGAATAGAAATATGGTAAGGGGGGAGAGAGGAGAGAGAGAGAGATAGAAAGAGAGATGAGAGAGAGAGAGAGAAAATGTTGTTTGGGGAGAAGTTTTTTATTTTTTTTTTTTTTTTTTGGGATGATTGTGTTTATGGGTGAAACTTTAATATGTTTAATATTGTTGGGGGGGTTTTTAAGGGATAGGTATGTATAGGGGGGGGTGGGGGGGGGGGGGGGTTGGGGGGTTGGTTGGGTTTTTGATATTTTTTTTTTTTTTGGTATATATTTTTATAGGATGATAATTAAAAGGTGGAGTGAATGGAGAATTGAAAAAGAATTTATGAATTTAAGCTGCGCCACCCAGGGATCCCTTTTTTTTTTAGTTTTTTAAAATTTTTATTTACTTTGAGCACTGGGTGTTATTCTGTATGTTGGCAAATTGAACACCAATAAAAAATAAATTTATTATTTAAAAAAAAGGAAAGGCCATTTGCTCTGTTGAAAACATATTCTGCGAAGTCAAGCTGAAATGCATTTGTACGCGCTTTCTTTAACTTGACTTTGAAAAAAAAAAGAAAAAATAATAATAACTTGACTTTGCCCATGAGTCAGATAACAGATCTGAACCCAGCATGAAAATATGCAAACCATTCCCCACAGGATGCAAATGCCAAATATGGCAGAGATAAGACTTCAGAAAACAGTGTGTATGTGTGTGTGTGTGTGTGTGTGTGTGTGTGTTTTCATTTGGAAGTACAAATGGACAAACGTGGATTCTCTCTTTCTTTTACTTGTAGATTGGTAAAATTTATGAAATGAGAATGATGATGGATTTTAATGGCAACAATAGAGGGTATGCATTTGTAACTTTCTCAAATAGACAGGAAGCCAAGGATGCAATCAAGCAACTTAACAACTACGAAATTAGGTAAGATCTACCTCTTGTGGTTAAAAAGTGAAGCAGACAATGCACCTGTATCTGTTCTTCCATCAAACTTATCTAATACAGTCTATGCAAAAGACAGCCAGACTGGACATTTAAAAAAAAAAAGGCATCTTTTCCTTGGTGAAAATCAATTTGATAAAATGTTTATTTAATGTCAACATTACCTAAGGTACCAAGCTAAGTTTTGTGAAATGCTCAAAGAAACAAAAATCATTAATTCATCTGTTGCACAAATGTGGTTGTGATGGGCACTGTTCAAAATACTGGAAATTTCAAGATGCCTTTTCCTATCCTCGTCGTAAGCAAATGGAGATAGAAGATTTTTTAGGACTATGAAAATCATGAGGACTCTAAAAGAAGCAAATGAGACCAACAAAAAGCAGAACCAGACCTGTAAATACAGGGAATAACCTGATGGTTGCCAGAGGGGGAGGAGGGAGGCTGGACAAAATGGGTGAAGGGGAGAGGGGAGACACAGCCTCCAGTTATGGGGTAAGTCACCAGGACGAATGGCACAGCACATGGCATGGAATCAAGGGTATTGTAATAGTGCTGTATGGTGCTGAGCAGAGGAAAATAGAGAAGCGGAATCACTGTGAAATGAATGTCACGTTGTGTGTCAGCTACACTTAAAAAAAAATTAAGAAAAAAAAAAAACACCTGTGAGGAGGTGGCCACTCTAACTTGGTGCATTTAAGAAAACACTCTCCAGGGGCGCCTGGGTGGCTCGGGGTGGAGAATCTGCCTTCGGCCCAGGCCATGACCCCGAGGTCCTGGGATCGAGTCCCGCATCCAGCTCCCCGTAGGGAGCCTGCTTCTCCCTCGGCCTGTGTCTCTGCCTCTCTCGTGAATAAATAAATAAAATCTTTTTTGAAAAGAAAAAAAAAAATACTCTCCAGGAAAGTACAATTTTACCTGAGACTTGAAAGCAAAGAGCCAGCCAGGACGGCCAGGTCTGGAGGAGGATTATTCCGGAGAGTAAGAACAGCAAGTGCCAAGGCCCCCAAACGAGAACAAGTTCAATGTGTTGGAGAACAAAGCCGAGGAGGTAGAAACAGAGAGGAGACCTGAGGGCAGCGTCGTCTGAGAGCCTTATGCTCCATGATTCAAGATCTGCCTTCTGTTCTGATAAAAAGGGAAAACATTCCATTAGATTCATGTGTTTTTTGTTTTTGTTTTTTTTTTAGATTCATGCTTTTTAAAACAGAACTCTGGCTGTTGGATGCAGCATGGACTGTAGCAGGGAAGCCAGAGGGAAAGCGGGGAGTAGTCTAGGTCTAGACAAGGGATTGCAGCAGGTGCACAGGGGCTGGTGGTGCAGGTGCCGCAGGGGTCGGGCATGGGGTCCGGCCTGGAGGTTGAACAGACAAGACTGGCTAAACATTGGATTTAGAGAGTGTAAGCAGTGTTAGAACTCGGGGAGGAAGGCGAGGATGTTGGTCCCAGCATCTGTGGATGAGGTGGTGCCCTTGAGGTGGGAAGACCGGAGGAATAGCCGGGACGTGGGGAGCTCAGTTTGGGGGAAGTCACAGTTGAGATTCGCATGAGACTTCCCCGGGGGAGCTGTTGAAGAGGGGACGGCGTGTACGATATCGGAGCCAGGAGAGAGGTCGCAGGGCCAGCCAGACTTGGATGATATTGCAAATCATGGGACCAGTGGAAGCTTCCAGGGCATAATTGACCCTGTGCAGTCAATTAACTGGATTTTATCAACTGGAAATGGGACTAACGTATGAAATTGCCTGAGTCCTACAAGCTTCACCTACGGACAGAATTGTCCTAAATCATCTCTCAAAGGAAGCCCTGAGCCCCCTGGAAGAGAGACCTGTACTGCGGTTGAAAAGCAACAGCTTTGGGGTCGGACAGGCTTTACCCGAGTGCCAGCGAGTGGCTTTATCTCCCCGAGCCTCAGTGTCCTCATCCCGAAAGTGGGGCTACTACGTGAACGCACGTCAGAGCGGTGATGGCGGGGATACTATAGACTTTTAGACATTTACCCTGGCGTCTGGAACACAGTAATGGGTCGATGAATGATGGACCTCTTACATATTAGCACATTCAGCAATTCTAAGAAATAATTTTCATATGTTTCTGCGTCTCAAAACTGATGTCATCCTCAGCATGAATACAGAGGGCTTTCCTGCCATTTATTTCCTCTCACTCCCTCTAGGCCCTAAATAAGTCCTGCATTATTGTCCTTAGAATTCTGTAAACCAGTTACTGGGTCATGTTTCTTCAGTCCCTTAGTCACAAAAAGACAGAATGGACGGGCAACCAGCGTGGCCTGGCCACTCAGGCCGCGGGTCAGATCGTGGAGCAGAGTTTTGGAGGGAAGTCCTGGGAGTTCCCCTCCCACGCAGGCCTCCAGGGAGCCAGGAGAGCTGCATCTGGTATGCGGGGGGTTGTCTGGCGTGGGAACCAGGCGACCAGAGCAGATTAAATCCTGGGACCTCTTCCAGCAATGGTTTTACCGTCAGCACCTAACTACTCACACGCTCTGGGCGTCTGGCATGGAGACGACCTAGACACAAGCGTTTGGGGAAAGGGCCATGGAAAGCCCTAGGTCAACGTAGCCTTTTGGTATGACAGGTGCAGGGCGGCGGGGATCGGAAGAGGCCCCGCTCCTTGGTCCTGCGTGGAGCCCCAGCAGCCTAAGCCTGAGGGTCATTCTCAAAACGGATGTGGACCTGGCCACTCAGGTAGGCCGCGCAGATGGCCGCGTGTGCTGACGCCCCGTTCCTCGTGGGCCTGCCCCTGCTTCTGCAGGACGGACAGGGTGTGAGACGGGGACACCAGGGACGTGTGGCAGAGATGTGCGACGGCACACTGTGAATTAACTCCGGCGGCGGCGTCTACGAGACATGAATATGGGCCGCCCTCCTGGCCATTCCCAAAATATAGGTGATGCAGGCAAAGCTCACATGCGCCGTGGACGTTCGCTGAGGATTATGGTGGAGGGACCGGGGTTGGGGGGACACATCACAAAGCATCTGGGGAGCAAGCTGGGGGCCACATTCCAGTCAAAGTCCAGCTGGACGCCAGAAGCGAGGGGAGGCTGAGAGGCGCCCTACACATCGAGGTGCGGGGTACACAGGACCCGCCGGGGGAGCGGAGACCCCGCACACCAATCCCAGCCACGTCCACTCTGCCCCCACCAGTCCCGCCAGGGAGCATCTTCCCTGCAGAGACGGGGGGCGGACCTGGATTTGCTCTCAGCCGCTACGTCTCGGGGTAGATAAGGCCCGCACCCCGGAGAAGCCCCGGAGCCGTCCTATCATCGTCTTCATCATCATCAACTATGCACGGAGCTCTGTCTAAATGCCGGGCTTCTGGAGACGTCCACGCGTGCCCTCGGCCAGCGAGCGATGGCTGTTGGTCGCCAAGCTGTCCTGGGAATGCGCCCAACCGACCACACAAATTTAAAACCAGGACACGGAGATTCCAGGTTCCACCTGCTGGTCGCTGACACCTGGCGGGCCCTCCATCAAAAATAACAGGATTGCTAAAGAAATAATATTTTGGAATAGAGGGAGGTTTTTTTTTTTTTAAGTTAAAAAAAAACCTGAAATATTCCTTCAGCTCCCCCTTCCCTTCCTGCAAGGAAAAGCACATTCCTTGGACAATGTTCAGCGGACGGCAAGAGATGCGTCGCAGCTCTGACACGTGGTCCCCAGGTCCTCGGCGAGGCAGGGAGGGCGAGCAGGGCGGAGGCCCAACCCCACTGAGGCCGCCAGTGCCGGGAAAGCGGATTGCTTCTATTCATGACGTGCAAGTCCTTTCTGTGAAAGGAGCTCTCCCCATTTTAATGACTGTACTAACTTCCTGTTATTACAAAAGCCACACAACAGCCCAAAAAAAGGCAATAAAAGTTCACACCTTCCGTCCACAATCCCACTGCCCCCAAGATAATCACTACGTCAGCTTTCTACTTTGCACGGTCTTCCTAAGTTTTCGGTACAGTGTTCATCAACATGGTCTCATATGCATATCTTGATGTCTTTTTTTTTTTTAAGCCAGTAGCATCTCATGAGCTGATTTTTTGTGTGTGTGTGAGCTGCTGTTTTAACCAATAAATATTCTCCTACGCTACTGCGCTATCGAGCAGTCTACGGTGTAAACGCTCATCTTTACTTTAGCAGTGAGTCTCAGCCGGAGCAGTAGCATCCACCCCAGGGGACACGTACAAAGGGGAAGAGGCATTCTTAGATGACCCAATAGATGGCTGTTAGCTTGTGGTATATCGGGAACTGAGGCTACAGCCAGACTATGGGCATGAGGGGGCAAGGCCCCTCCGCAGGGTCAACGTAATCTCAGCCACCAGGCATCAGACCGGTTCCGGAGGGGGGCATATTTTGATTTCCAATCTGGGGACTATCTTAAATCATAGCAGCGAATGTCCTGATACAAGATTGTTGGTGTTCATCTCTTGGCTAGACACACTTTCCCAGAAGGGGCACTATATGCCCCAAAATCATACACAAAAGGTTTCTGATGCATTTTCCCTGAGCAACCCCGCTTCCCAAGAGCTTCCTCTGCACCTGCCGGTGGAGGAACGCATGCACGTGCCCTCGGCGGGCCCGCGTGGAAAGGATGGGAGGGACCCGAGAGTCTGCAGGTAAACCCCAGCCCTCCCGGTCTACAAAACCTTAAGCAGGTCGTTGAGTTCTCGGGGCCTCCAGCCTTCCTCCAGCACCTTCCCTGCCCACCTTCCTCGGCTAGGTCAAATGAGATAATACAGGGAAACCTGCCCAGCATAAGGGATCATTTCTTTTTTTAAAAAAAGATTTTACTTATTTATTTATCTGAAAGAGAGCGCACACCAGCCAGGAGGGAGGGGGAAAGGAAGAGGGAGACACAGCCGCCCCGCTGAGCCGGGAGCCTGACGTGGGGCCCCATCCCAGGACCCCGGGGTCATGGCCTGAGCTGAAGGCAGACCTTGGCCCACGGAGCCCCCCGGGTGCCCCATGAGGGACAATTCGTAGGGGCAGTCGTGTCGGAAGTCTTCCCTTCCCTACTTGGCTGGGAAAGAAGGGAGCCCTGGGCCAGGAAACGTGAGCACACCCCACGTCGGGTCCACGGTCACAGGCTTTGCCACCTCCGGCCGGAGCCCCACTCACGTGGGGGTCCCTGCCGAGCAGAAAGAGTGCCTGCCTCCGGTTTTGTTTTATTTTTGCAGAAACGGGCGCCTCCTCGGGGTGTGTGCCAGCGTGGACAACTGTCGACTGTTTGTGGGGGGCATCCCGAAGACCAAGAAGAGAGAAGAGATCTTAGCAGAGATGAAGAAGGTCACCGAAGGCGTCGTCGACGTCATCGTCTACCCGAGCGCCGCAGATAAGACCCGAAACCGGGGCTTCGCCTTCGTGGAGTATGAGAGTCATCGCACGGCTGCCATGGCCCGAAGGAAGCTGCTGCCAGGTAGGCACCCCGTCCCCAGGGAGCCCCACCTGCCGCCTGCGCCGGGCACCGGGCGGGGACACGGGCGCTGGCTGCCGCGTGGTCTCCCAAGGGGCTTCCGTGGGCTTCCAAGCCCTCCTGTCACCTAGGTCACGGTACACTCAGGCCCCCGTAGCTTTCACCCATGAGGTTTTGAAAACCATGTGTGGAGTGTAGCACATGTGTCCTGGGGTGATCCCGAGCCACGAGCCTGACCCTGTCGCGAAGCGTCACAGTGGAGGATGGCCTCAAAAGTGAGCATGTGCCTGGGTGGTCCGTGTGGCTGCTAGCAGGCCTGCTAGAACTGGAGCCCGGTGTCCCTCACCGTGGAGGATGAGCCTGACGGTGACACTGCCCCGGTGACTCCGCCGTGGCTAACAGTTAGGCCTGTGGCCCTCCAACGGCAGGCACCTGCTGGGTGCTACCACCACCGGGTGGGCCCTATCTGGGCAATGACTGTCAACCCTTGTGTGTAAAGGCCCCCACCCCAGGGCCCTGCCTCGGTCAGGCTGGCCTCGGGAAATTGTTGAAAATCCTCTGCTCGTTCTCAAACAGTCACTAAAACTCACCAAAGTAAGGTATTAAGTCGAATCAATATTAAAACAAGGGGATTTCGAGAATGATGGAATGGGAGACAGTGGAATCAACTCCTCTCCCGAGCACCATGGAAGAGCCGCCAGAATTAGAGACAAAACCAACACCACCTATAGTGTCCCCGTACATGTTCTTGTTTTTCTTTGAGGTTTTATGCATTTATTCATGAGAGAGGCAGAGGCACAGGCAGAGGGAGCAGCAGGCCCAATGCGCGACTCGATCCCGGGACCCGGGGGTCACGCCCTGAGCCAAGGCAGATGCTCAACAGCAGCCATCCAGGTGCCCCCCCCCCGCCCCATACACATTCTTAAAAACGAACCAGACTGAGCAAGTCACAGGGATGGAAGGCACAGCGTAGGGAACACGGTGGGATCGCAATAGTGCCCTATGGTCACAGGCGGTAGTGACTCTCGTGGGGAGCACAGCGTAACGCATACAGTTGTCCAGTCGCCACGTCGTGCGCCTGACACGAAGGTAACGTGTGCGTTGACTCTACTTTAAACCATAAAAAAAAATTTTATTTTAACTCATTCAGAGGCTAGAAGTTTTCAAAATTGGAAGATGGGAATGACTTTTTTTTTTAAGAGATTTATCTATTGATGGGGGGGAGGGGCAGAGGGGAAGGAAGAGGGAGAGAGTGTGGAGCAGACTCAGCCCTGAGCAGGGAGCCAGACCCGGGTCTTGAGCTCCCGCCCCTGAGATCATGACCTGAGCAGAAACCAACAGTCAGGGGTCACCTGACCGAGCCACCCAGGTGCCTCGGGAGAGATCTTATTAATATTTTAATGAAGGCAGCTAAAGTGAGAGGGCAGGAGACTGCCCCCCCCCCAGATTGCTGGATCCATTACCGAGATGGGTATTTTTAAGGACGATGCTTCCGCGGGCAGACCCTGAGCCGCACGGGTGCAGAGCACCCCTGATGCTTCTCAGCAGGCGTCCTGAGCCCCTCGGCGAGCCCCCCTTTGGTGCCCTCTTTTCTGCCATGAAGAAGTCCCCTGTGTCCATCCTGATGTCAGACTATGGTTGGAGTCTAAAAACATGTTTTGCTGAACGTAGACTCTTTTCAAAAATTCCAGGTTATTCTCCGAGCCCTGCTCTCTTTTGGAGGTACCCCACTGTTCACCTGCTCCGTCCCGACCGTCACCACCAGATTACTCATGTTCCCCCAAATCTCACGTCATCCTTTCCAGGGCAAGCAGTAGGAACCCGATCACTGTGTGCCGAGGGGCTGAATGGTGCTGCTCGCCCACTGCTCGCTGCGGAGGAGACTGGACTCTGCGGCCATTCCTCAAGGCTCCAGTCCCTCCCAGCCGTACCTGCCACCCACCACTTCCCAGCAAGCCCCTTCTTTGCAGCGGGACAGACCCCCCTGTGGTTTAGGCCACGCTGATTCTCATCTCGTTTGCTCCGAAAGCTGCGTCCCCGCTGGAGCGACCTGTGCCCTGCCCCCTGCACCGCCCCGGCCTTCAGGGCCCAGCCCGGGCCCGTGGCAGCCCACGCCAGCTGCCTCTCTCCGTCACCTGCGCCATCAGACATGTGCAAGCTTCTCGGAGGCCAGGAAGGGTCTCAGTGAGAGAGGCTCAGGAAGGGGAGAAAAAGAGTTTCCAGGGGCCAGACCCGAGTTCCCAGAGCACCTGCCCTCCGCCAAGGAAAGTGCACGTGGCCCGGCAGAGCCTGTGTCTCGGGGTGCGGCGGGCCTGGGCGGGCAGCGGCCCTCGCCTCCCCGGGCAGCCCTCCACGGAGCACGTGGCCGGGCCCCCAGCAGCCGCACCACAGACAGGCCCGAGCCAACTACTCCTTCTTGGCACCTGGGGCCAGGCCTCCACGTGCTTGGACGCGCCACCAGCTGCCTCACCGTAGGCCCCCCCAGGGCAGAGGCTTAGGGCCCCATCCCCGGAAAGCCTCGCGTGAGAGAAGGCGGTCTTCAGCACGCAAAACAGGCGAGGGCCACAAGCTCTCCCTTCCTAACTGACCCAGAGTTGGAGGCAGAGAGAAAATCGCGGCCTCTCGTGACCCTCCGCCCAGCCACCTCCCTCCCCATGGACGGCGGCTGCTCCCTCCCCAGGTGTGCATGGACACGGGCCGGCGCCCAGCTCCGAGGACGCTCTGGGGAGGCTCTCATGTGGCCCCAGCATCAGCCCATGCGGGGTCACCTGGAGGGCGTGGGAAAGTGGCACCGCGGGGGGGCCCCCAGAGTCCCTGAGTCCGTACACCTGCCGAGGCACCTGCTCCTTTGCATCTATAGCCAGTTCCTGGGCTGCTCCGCTACCCCAGACCCCAGTTTGAGAACCTGCGGCGTAAGTCAGCCGCCGCCCCTCAGGGGCCCCAGATCCGAATAACCCGAGGAGGTTTCTAACCAACGACACAGACCTAACCGACCCCCGATCAGCTGAGTCTGCTGCTCTGGGGCGCAGAGCTGGGCCCCGGTGTTTTAAGCTTCCCTGGTGATTTTGCTGTGCGGCCAATTCTGTGATCCACGGCATCGCCACCGGCTGAGGCTGGAGGCCGGCCCTGCCCCGTGGGAGAGGTCAGCAGGAACACCTGCCCGCCACGCAGTGTGGAAACATTTCCTCAGCACCTACGACGGGCTTAGGTCTCTTCCCAAGGAAATTCTTTTAAAAAACAGAACAAAAACAACAAATGTCTCTATTGCACCCAAAGAGTGCTCCGAAGAAACCACACACGCAGGAAAAGAGACCCCCCCCAAAACCCCAAAACACTCAAGGGGAGACTGCCTCAGTGGAACGTGATCATGTCCCTCACGTGTATCATCTTTCATTTCCACAGCAGCACCAGCTCGCAACTTTTATGATTCCAATTTTATAGATGAGGAGATTGAGGTTTAGGGGGGTCACTTCCCAGCCAGGCCTGTGATCTGACATGTGGACGTGTCTGGTTTCAAAGCCCATGTTCCCAAATCCACCTACCACCCTGACTGCCACGAGGATGCTTGGGGAGACCACTGCCCACCCTACCTCCTCCAATGCTGTCCCCTTCAGCCTTCCGCAGGCCTTCAGGCGGCCGGCGGCTTCCTGTGGTCCCAGGCCAGGAGGGCAAAGGCCAATGGATGGCATGTGTTCTCCATTTGGGCTGAATTAGCTGAAGTGCTTTTAAGAAGCCTCGGGAGGCCTGGACCACTCGTATCAAAATTGGGAAGGAGAGTCCTGGGGTCAGTGATGAGCTGGCCAATATTTCCTAGACAACTCCCAGGGGTAATCCAAGCCCCATGTAACACGGGCAGGTCCCCATGGTATTGATGCTACCATGGTGGTGGCCAATTTCAAGCTACCAAGATGACACCAACTGGCTCACATAATTCTGAAAATTTAACAGTCTGGTGTTGCGAGTGGAAAGGAATTGGGTGCAGCATACCAGTGAGGGGGGCTCAGGTTGGGTGCTTTTTTTTTTAATTTTATTTATTTATTTATTTGTTTATTTATTTATTTATTTATTTATTTATGAGAGATAGAAAGCAAGAGAGCATGAGCAGTGGAGGGGCAGAGGCAGAGGGAGAAGCAGACTCCCCACTGAGCAGGGAGCCCGACATGGGGCTCAATCCCAGGATCCTGGGATCATGCCCTGAGCCAAAAGCAGATGCTTGGCCGACCAGATGCCCCCTCAGGTTGGGTATTTCTTTAGGCTCTTCCAAAACAACTAATAAAAAGCACACAAGATTCCCAATCAAATGTAGGAATTGAGTTGATTCCCCCCCCCCCCCGCCACTATCCCTTCAGCTCAGCTCCGCACCAGGTAGAGGTACAGGACTGTGTAAGCAGAGAAGAAAACGGAGCCACGGAGAAGTGAGGTGGGTCTGGGCAAGTCACTCGTGCCTCTGAAGCTCATTTCCTCTTCCATGAAATCGAGAAAGTCCGTCTCCTCCCCATGGAGTGACTATGAGCAGAAACTGAGGTAGCGAATGGAAAACACGTTATGCCCTCAATAAATTGCCACTATAGAAATACACAAATACATGTCGTCATGGTCATGGGTGACAACTACCCCCTCCCCAAAGAGCTCAGTTTCTCATCACAGACCTTTCCATTGCTCTTTGTCTTCCTAATCGGGATACAAATTTTTTTTTCTGCAGATTCCCAAGTTGAGAAGAGAAGTAGGAAGGGACGTGGCTAATCGGAGGGGTCAGCTGATCAGGGGACATAGCTGACCAGGTGTAAGGGACGGAGAACAAACGAGGGGTGCCTGAGGCCTGCTCACTCTTGCCCGCATACCAGTTGTCAGACAGTTCGGTGGTGGCACCTGGTGACGCAGATCCCAGCAGCAGCAGATCTACCTCCCAATGATCTTTATGAGGCTTCATGAGGTCACTCTCTGTCCGAGCCTTCAATCCATATGTTCCTTTCTCCTCTTCTGCTGTTTCCCTTGTAATGACTACCTCCCCCTGTGACAGCTGCTCGAAGACCCAAACCTGCCCATTGCTGCCTCATTTCTGATCCATTTCCAACAACATCCTCGTTCCCTTTGTGCTCAGTCATTACAACAAGCCGTCTGTCATGAGAACGCCCTTCTAGCCAGCTCTTCCATTTATCTGGAAGGCTTCTTAAGATCAATAATCGCCTCCTGTAACAGCCGTCTTCTTGCTCGATCAAGACCTCAAAGCATCGGTTGAATTTAAGAGGCCATCTCAGCGAACTGAGATGATGTTGTCCTGATTTCTGCGTAACTAATCATACTTGTGATCCCTTTGGACAGGAAGGATTCAGTTATGGGGACATCCTATCGCCGTAGACTGGGCGGAACCGGAAGTAGAGGTTGATGAGGACACGATGTCGTCGGTGAAAATCTTGTACGTGAGAAATCTGATGCTGTCTACCTCGGAAGAGATGATTGAAAAAGAATTCAACAATATTAAACCAGGTAGGACATGCCAGGTAGATTCCGTTTTCCAGCTGTGCTTTAAAAACCCTTACGCCTGAGATGACTTACCATGGCTACAAACAGAATAGCTTTCATTCTGCGTTCTTAGAATTGCACGCGGACTACAACAACCATATTCCGAAATATGTTTTTTTATAATTTTTTTTATATTTTTATATATATTTTTTATAATTTTTTTATAAATAAAGCAAAGAAGGGACACATGGTCCTACAACATTTATCGGCAGTATGACTCTACCATTACCCATGTGGTTACTTCACTAATGCAGATTTTCTTCACTAAACTATAAATTTCATCAGGGGTTTTTGGTTTCGATCATCTCCTCAGCCCCTGTCTCTGTACCTGGCTCATGGTAGGTGCTCAATAAATATTTACTGTGTTGATGAATGCACGCCCAGAGCTATAATCTCAGGTAGGGCTTCTCAGCCTCAGGGATCTTAATATTTTCGGTCAGATAATTCTTGGTTGTGGCAGGGGGGTCTCTCCTGAGCAATATAGGAATTTTAACAGCATCCCACACCCCTACCGACTGGATGCCAGTAGCAACCCCCAAGACATAATACCCCAAAATATCCCCAGACATTTGCCCTGGAGGGCAAAATTGCCCTCCATTGAGAACCACTGATCAAATGGAATATGATTACAATATCAGGTACATACATAGGAAGGTGGGAATTAATCCTAGGAAACTCATTTGGGTAAAGTGGAAGGGAAAGGAACAGAGGGAGGTGGGGGGATAATTATTATTGCTCATCTTGTCAATATTTTGCAGTATCAGTTTTATACCATGAGATTCAGGCCTCACTGCTCTTTTCTCCTATAGGAACTACAACAGTGAGACAGGTAAAATATATCAGGGAAGAATGTCCAAACAAACATTTCCCGAAGCCAGTTATGCAGAACATTAATTCTGTGGATGGTTAGTAGAAGCTACTGATAGAAGGGGTCCTTGATCAAGTAAATCTATAAACACCAGATTCAGGAAAATTAAACAGATTTTTTTTATTGCAGGACTTCTCAGAGTCCTTAACCTTCTAATATGCTTTGAAAGTCTCCAAAAGGAGATGTAGGATGGCTTCCCAAATTTCTGGACCAGGGATCTCATTTTTTGGCCAGCCATCTTGTGGAATTAGCAGGTTTTGGAACACACTCTGGCCTAAATTTATCACTGTGGTAACATCTTTCCATAAACCAGGGTTTTTCTGACTCCAGGGAGTATCCCTCTACCTTGCTGATAAGCACGAGCCATGGTGCCATCATGTCAACTCGGCCTGAGAATAGTCCCCTCCATTGGTCACGTGGCCAGCTCCGGGTGCTGGGTCAGGTGTAACAGAATAAGCTGATGATTTGTTGCACCCGTGACTAGTAAGGATGCCACTTCCCCGTTTTTGGAGATGCACCAGCTTTGTCCTTCTCCAGGCTTTAGGAACCCCGCCTTCCTGACATTGTAGTGCAATGTGTGACCCCACAGCACCAGCTGTGAGCCCATCACTAACACAGAGGCTGCAAGTGACTGTGCCAGGCTTCCCTTCGGCACTTTCTCAGCAGGTGTCACCTCCTCAGCACCACAACCCTGGGATGCAGGTCACTGTATCACTTCCGTGATTGTAAAGGTGAGAACACCAGGACCTGGAGCAGATAAGTTGCTAGCTCAGGGTCATACAACTAACCAGTGGTAAATCACAGATTCAAATCCAGGTCTGGGCAAAACCACATGCTTAACAGTAATAATTATCCCCTTCCACCTCCAGCTCCCATCCTTATTCCACTCACTCACTCACTCACTCACTCACTCATTCAGCTGTCATTACTTCAGTAGCTCCCATGTGCTAGGCACTGTGGGAGGAGCAAACAGGTGTGATGTGTGTGTGGAAGGAGTTTAAGATGCTCCAGAAGAGGGACAGCTGGTGACTCAGCTGCTTAAGTGTCTGACTCTTGATTTCAACTCAGGACATGATCTCAGGGGCATGAGATGGAGCCCAGAATCCAGCTTCTTGCTTGGTGGGGAGCCTGCTTGAGATTCTCTCTCTCCCTCTCCCTCCACCCCTCCCCACCAAAAAAAGATGCTCCAGAAGAATCACAGCCATGACAGCCTACCCTTGGGGTGCAGACAAGACTCACGTTTAGGAGAAGTGACATGTGAGCTGAGATCTGAATGTCGATGCATCTGTGGGCAGAGGAATAACATGTGTGCATGTAGATGTTGCTCCACCACATTCCGCTTTGTGTTGACTTCCCACCTTATTTTTGATACTTCCTTTTTTTCAACCTTTTTGATAAACTATATTGAGAATGACATGCCCACATGCAAATAATAAAGTGGGGCTGGATTTATACAATTGGTAAAGTTAACTGAAAATGGATCAGGGACTAATAAAAAGAAAGCTAATATTTTTAAAAATCACTAGAGGAATATATAGGTAAAGCTTCATGACTTCGGATTTGGCAATAAACTCTTGGATGGTATTAAAAGTACAGGCGACGAATTAAAAATAGAGTAATTGAACTACATCCAAATTAAAAACTGCATCAGAGGACATTTGCGACACTGAAACAGCAACCCACAGAACAAGAGAAAATGTCTGCAAACAATACATCAACCAAAGATTAAGTAAAAACGGAAATGTGTATTTGTTCAACGATCGATATTGTCCACTTGCCACACACATGGTCAACACGCACATTAAGAGATGTTCAGCATCACTCGCTATTCACCAGGGAAATACAACCCCAAACCATTTCCACTTGCCAAGATATCAATAGTAGTAGTAGTAGTAGTAGTAGTAGTAGTAATCAAAGAAGACGACAGAGATGTTGGGGGAAGCTGTGGAGCAATTAGAACCATGTGCCATATAAACAGAAACACAAAATAATGTAGTCGCTGTGGGAAACTGTACACTGGGTCCCAAAAAACATATAATCACCATGTAATCCAACAATTCCACTTCAGGGCGTACACGCAAAATAAGGAAAAGCAGGGACCTGCACAGATACTTGCCTACCAGGCTCACAGCACACGGCATGGATGCACCTCGGAGACACGAGCGTGATGACACAAGACAGTCAGCAGGACGTAACAGGTGCCAGGTATCCGAGGTTCCTTAGGTAGGCTCAGTCATCGAGACAGAGCAGAGCGGTGGCTACCCAGGGCGGGGGAAAGGACTCAGAAATGCTTACTAGTTACAGGCCTTCAGTCTGAGTTCATGAAGAGGTTCTAGAAATGCACGGTGGTGCCAGATACACGATATAGTTCTTCCTTTTATCTAAGTAAGACCTTAACCTTCTTGTTTTGTTTTTGCTCTTTTGTTTTTTTTTTTAAGATTTTATTTATTTATTCATAGACACAGAGAGAGAGAGGCAGAGGCACAGGCAGAGGGAGAAGCAGGCTCCATGCAGGGAGCCCGATGTGGGACTCGATCCCGGGTCTCCAGGATCACACCCCAGGCTGCAGGCAGCGCCAAACCGCTGCGCCACCGGGGCTGCCCTGTTTTTGCTCTTTTGAAAGGGCTGGAATGGGAAACACCTAAAAGGCTGCTTCCTTTCCTGGTCACCGGTTATCAGCTTGTCGCATTAAAGAGAGACATGAGCTCGTGTCCTCCTGGTTATAATGAAAATAATAAATGCTGGCTTGCTCTCTCCGTCTCTCCTCTCTCCTTCTGGTGGCACAACTTGGAGGTCTACAGTGATGTGTGGCTGCCTCTTGGCACTCCACAAAAGAGGGTGGAGGACCAGCAGACATTTGCTGTATTAGGAAGAAAAAATCAGGGCTAACGAGTTTATTTTCCAGTGGAAAGGGTGTGTTTATACTTCTCTAGGAAAATTTACAGAGAGAAACAGGAAAATAACTCTTTAAAAATCCTACTGGAAGTTTAGATCCCTCAGAGGAGCCCGAATATTCCCAGCAAATCTTTCACCCTATAGTTTTAACACTGATTAACCTGAAAATATCCTACTGCCACTCAGAGAAATAAATGATAATCAGAATAGAAATGGGCTGAAAAATGTAGGTTCTTCCCCAGTATAGCTTCAGGCTATCTGCTGAAATTGCAATTACAATCGTGCTACAAAATCTAATCTCCCTAAAACAGTTTCCTGTCCATCTGAATCCCCGGGAAGGCTTAAAACAGCCTGTGGGCCGCACCCCAGGAGTTGGTGATTCAGTGCGTCGAGTGTGGGTCCCAGCACTGGCATTTCTCTGAAGTTCCTGGGGAAGCTGCTGCCGGCCTGAGGACCCCACTTGGAGAACCATGGCCCCCAGATGAGCTTCCTTGCGGCTTGCAGATGTGTTTCTCTTCGGGTCATGGATGCACTGCTAACAAGTTGATCATGAATAGAGCAGTATTTTCCCAATTCCCTGTATTATGACTTCGGAGTCCTTTGCATCAGCACGATGATCACCACTGACATCGCCTCCGCCCTCTGCCAAACAATGATCAATCAGTGAACAAACTCCTGGAAATTAAAGCAGCCACATAGGACAATAACCCACGTGGTGAATCCTATTGTACAGAAGACCAAACTCTCATTTTCTAACTTGTTTTATGAGGCTACATCTTCGTTCCTTAAGATTTCCAAAACCAGGTGCAGCTGAACAATGTTGCTTAAAAATGCAAGCCGGTGTATTTATCTGCGAGCGGCATTAAAGGACATTTAGACCCATCACCATCTGAAATGCCGCCTAATGAATGTGAGTGAGAGAAGCTGGAGTGTGAATTGACTGGTGGTGTTTGCTCGCTCCGTGTATATTTATAGAGCAGCCTAGATCTATGCACAACCTACTAGGCGGCCCTGGATGAAGACAATACCATGATGCCCCTGAAACAGGTCCTATTCATCTAGTCAAGTGGAGCCCAGAAGAAGGACGGGGCTGAAGAACAAATGGAGCCAAGACTGGAACAACAGAGACCCTCAATGGCACCCCTTTCACCTCTAAATCACCCGAACAAGCCGTGGGGCTATGTCACCGTAGGTGATCCACCTACACTGAAGGCACACGGAGACCATGCTGGAAGTTCAGTTAATTACTCGTTAACTCAATGAATTGGTTCCGTTAATGTCCATGCATCACAGTCTCAAACACCTCAGCCTCACCAGACGATTTTGCTCTGGACAACCGTTGCCATGAGAAGCCAAGGGTGGGAAGCTGAGAGAAGAGAGAGAAGTATGACAATGTCTTCAAACGATCCTCACATTTCAGCCCTGCCGTTATTCCAAAAGAAGACAACTTACAGCGCGTGGAACCACGTGGTAGAGTGAAAAGTCTAATTGCTTTTGTGACCTTGAATCTAAGAGGATCGATAACTGAATCTCGATAGGGAGAGGACAGAGAAGAACCCTCATCTTCCCTTCCGGTCCTCCCTGGGAAAGGGTCCCATCATAGGTTAGGTCGGGCAACTAGGATGGAAGAAACCCAGTCTCTCCAGGACACCCTAGTGAGTGTCACCGAAAGAGGACAGCTGGCAACGCTAACCTGTTAGCAAACTGCAAACAAGTTACACAGGTGTCCGTTTTACCTTCACTCCAGGAAAAGCTTCTCTTTCATGTTGAGTCATCAGCAATATTCTCTAGCAACATTTTAGTAATAAAACATAAAATACAAAGTTCAACTATTTTGCTAAACCTTTTTTTATTATTTTTCTATATTACCATCAACATACGCAGTTCCTCGATATAAAATTAGGTTCGGTTGATTTGTTATTTTTTAATTACACAATTGATATCAATGAGCATTGCAAATATTTGCAAAATACCAAAGAATGAAAATTAAAATATGAAATCTCCCTTTATTCTCTCCGAATTTTCTCCCCACTCCTAAAGTAACCTCTATTAACAGTTTGGTTGGTATCTTTCCATTTCTCTTTCTCTGTCTATATTCATATTTATGCATGCACAGATGTGGGTGGGATTTTGAAAACCTAAATGTGTAGGGATGCCTGGGTGGCTCAGCGGTTAAGCATCTACCTTCAGCCCAGGGCATGATCCTAGAGTCCCAGGATCAGGTCCCACATCGAGCTCCCCACAGGGAGCCTACTTCTCTCTCTTCCTGTGTCTCTGCCTCTCCCTCCCCTCTCTCTCTCTCTCTCTCTCTCTCTGTGTGTGTGTGTGTGTCTCTCATGAATAAATAAATAAAAATCTTAAAAAAAAACCTAAATGTGACAGTATTATCCTCATGATTTCACAGCTTTTTAAATTTGATAATAGGGTCTTAAATCTTTCCATGTAAGTCTATGTAGGTCTACTTGTTCTCTTTAAAGACATTTTATTGGGTATAAATGTACTAGGTCTCATCAATCTCATGGGAATGGACTTTCGCAGTGGTGGAGTTTTCAACAGTGGTAGAGTTAATGTCCTCATGCATGGTCCTTTTGCAAATAGGAGGGCTTCTGTAGGAGACATTCCACAAGGTAGACTTAGTGGATATCTACATTGTTTCCAACGTTTAGATATTACGAACACCTTGATAAGGAACTATCTTGGTTTTCCCACGTTCTTTCAGAAATTACTTTCTTCTTTTAAATCAAAAGAATCTCAGATAAGCAGTTTAAAGGTTTGCATTCTAGTTCCTAGCTGTGTCAACTCATGAATCTTACTTCCCTTGTCAGAACCCATATTCCTAATCTTTAAGTTAAAAATAAATACATTAAGGTCAAATGAATTTTTTAAGAACTTAAATCATTGCTAAAGTGTCTCCTAATCCTAAAGTTTTATTATATAAATCAAGAGACACAATATTTTTCTGGGGGGAAAAAGCCATTAAATTTTTTCTAAAAGCCTTAAAAATTTTAAAGCCAATCACCTAAGTATAGATTTATAGGATGGCCAATAGTTAAGTTCAAATCAATTCAACAAATATTTTACTGAATTATCAGTTACTATCTTTTATATTTTATGCTAGACCAAATAAGATACTGCCTCTATCCTTGAAGATCCTATAATCTAGGAAGTGGAAAACACAAATCCATAATTAACAATAAGGCAGACTACAGGGGATATAAAAAATTACAAACAAAAGCTTCTGTTGAATGTGTAGAATTGTAAACCTGGACACACCAAATATTCTCGATGAGATTTTGACCTAAATAATGAGTCTCCAAAAAGAAAAAAAAAAATCAAATACTCCTGGAAGCAAAATGCTAATGTGTATCATTCCCTGGGTTTTCTCCGGTTTGCTAATGGGGCCAACTTTCTGTTTCCAGGTGCTGTGGAAAGGGTAAAGAAGATCCGAGACTATGCTTTTGTGCACTTCAGTAATCGAGAAGATGCTGTTGAGGCTATGAAAGCTTTAAATGGGAAGGTAATGTAGGACAACACCCCCCCACACACACACACACACACACACTCACCCAAATGTGGTGCAGAAATTTTATTCAAAAGAACGATCCTGTAAGTGTGTCACTCAGGCTTTCTCCGCCTCTGACAAGGCTGCCCAGGTCCATTGAAGATGAACAGAAGTATCGAAAACACAGTGGAGATGTGGCACCTGTGTTTCGCTCTAGCTCTAATTTTGGGGTGATTTGAACAAGTCACAAGCCCTAAATTTCTTTACAAAGTGGGGGGCTGGAGGACATTATTTCAAGGATGTTCTTCTCAGGTCCAGCTTTCTCTCATTACTTTATGAGATTATCACCTCGTTAATGCAGTATTTCGGAGGCTGATGACCAGAAAACAGGTCAATTCTGTTGTCATTCTGTCCTTAGAGTTTGCTCTCCCTACTTTGGAAGGCTCTGGATCTTTTCCTCTTGCCAAGAGTGGGGTCTGGGAACTTCTAAAATCCTTTCTCCTGATGTGTACATAGAAACTAGTATCATATTTACTTATCAATGCAACCAACATGAAATCCCTTCTATAGACCACTTGTCTTATGAAATAATGTCTGGGATACAAAAAAAAAAAAAACAAAGATACTTGTCAACAGGCTAGAAGTCTGCAGAAAAATAAGATGAGAACACAAACATCTTTCATAGTTGAGTCAACTAAGTTTCATTAAAAATATATCCATACAGAAATAGTGGTGAGAAAGTCCAAAGGAAGGAGGAGCAAGCCATAAGGAATCAGAAAATCTTCATGGAGATCTGAAGATAGTATCCACGAGAAGCCATAAACACTGGGCAAAATTCCCAAAGGAAAAATCACAGAAACGGAGGGAGTCTCAGAGGCATGGAATTTGGAAAGAGCAAGAAGTGACTGAGGAAGAGTGAAAGCACAACAATTAGATGTTAGACCATCATGCACGTAGGACCATGTCGCCTGTTGGGTTTTGTAGTTAGTCCTAACAGCATACAGGTGGTGAGGGGACCAAGTGCCGAAGGGTGACTGTGGGGAAGGGAATCGAGACAGTGGAGAAGCCAAGGCTCACAACACTACCGGAATCAAGGCGACAAGGGACAGAAGCAACAGGAAACCTAGTGGGGAGAGGACTGTGTAGAGCATCTCTCCTTGTGAGAAGTGGGGATCTTTGGCCGAAGGACGCCCTGGGCTAAGGGAGCACCTCCCAGAGTAAGTCCTTCAGTCACGGTGTGGGGGCTGGGCTTAGGGGCCAATCTGAGGCCTGTAGACATGTTTGAGCCCTGGAGGGAAAAAAAAAAACACTGACTCCAGGACACAAAAAGAAAACTGTAAAGCAAAAATGAATGCAAATTTAAGTACGTGTCCGTGAAACAAAACATCAGTTCATCTTTATTGATGATTACGTTTAGTATTATAAAACTTTTATGACCTTGCAAACAATTTGTAGGTTAATTTCTGGATTTGAAAACAATCATACAGGGTGCCTGGGTGGCTCAGTAGATTAAGCATCTGCCTTCAGCTCAGGTCATGATCTCAGAGTCTTGGGATCAATCCCTGTGTCAGACTCCCTGCTCAATGGGGAGTCTGCTTCTCCCTCTGCCTCTCCCCTGACTCGTGTGCACTCTCTCTCTCAATAAATAAATAAAATCTTAAAAAAGAAAACATTCTTGAGGATGCATGATGATTGCTGAGAAGTAAGAGTTAGTCATAAATTAAATGCTAAATAAAAAAATAAATAAATAAATGCTAAAATAATTATCATAAATTAAATTGCTAACTAGTCACCTTGAAATAATCACAATGGAGAAAATACAAATTGCCCCCAATTTTTATAGCTAGTTTTATAGTGATGTATATACATTGTGAGGTTAAATATATATTTTAAAATATATACCAAATTATAATTATATTTAACTACAATGCGGTATGGGAAAATCAAAAGTAAGTTTGCCTAGGAACGAAGCAAGCTTTAAGTCTATATACATATGCATATAAATAGTTAACTTATGAGACAAGGTGAGACTCTGAAGCTTTTTGTGCAATAGAGTAATGATCACACTTAGAATTTAAGGAAATGAATTTAGAATTTAAGTAAATGAATGTCCTAAGAGATGCAATTTTATGGAGTTGGAAAGCAGTGATATTGGAACTATTTGAAAAACTATTACAGTCACCCAAATGGGAGGAAATAGGGTTTGAACAAGGAAATAGGAGAGGACTCTGGAGGAGTCTGAAAATGCCAGGAATTGATTGGATGTTGGAATGAGCAAGAGTCATCAGTTTTCAATATGGGAGACCAGGATGATAGGGGCAGGGAAGCCAGGATAGGAAACCTATTTAGAGAGAAAAGTGATGAACTGAGCTTTGCATTTGATTGTTTATCTATTCCAGAAATACTTGTGGATGTCTGTGATGTGCAAGGAATTTTGCTGGGCTTGGGAATATCCTGATTAATAAGATATTGTCCTAGCTCTTGAAATATCTAGACTGAATAACAAAAATCAAAACTGAGCTTTTAACACTATTACAGGGACACCTGGGTGGTTCAGTGGTTGAGCATCTTCCCTCAGCTCAGGTCGTGACCCCAGGGTCTTGGGATCAAGTCCCGTGTCAGGCTTCCCTCAAGGATCCTGCTTCTCCCTCTGCCTGTGTCTCTGCCTCTCTCTCTGTATCTCTCATGAATAAATAAGTAAAATCTTTTTAAAAATAAAATAAAACACTATTACAGAGGCAGATGAAGGCAAGACTAAATCTATTATATGGAATCTGACTTTGCAGTAAAGAATCACTCCATTAAAAATGTCTCTTGATACGGGAGTGCCTAGAAGCAGAGACCTGTTTGGGTCTCCGACCTTCTTTAAGACAGGACTGAAGGAAAAAAAATATTCTATCTAAGAGCACTCCATTCCTTTGGATACTTAGGTTTGTTTCTTCTGATTACATCAAGGCAAGTGTGACATGGTTGAATATCATCAGGATTCTCTTTCTCAGTGTACTCCATCCAACATCTTTGATATGGCTCCTGCTCCCAAAAAGAAAGGCAGATATGTAAACCTAGGAATATGATGCTCCAAGGCTAATCAAAATGGTCAGGACAACCAGCAGACTTCAATGATCACAGAACCACCAAAGCACTCACAAAATGGCGAGCTGTTGTGAAAGGAAATTCTTGAGGGGATGCTTCATGTTTTTTTCTTTATATTATTTTTTCCTTTATAAAAACAGAGGCTTATGATAGTGTTATTCATAAGATGCTACAAATGCTTCCTCACAATACTGTGTCCCATCGATAAGAATTACCTCAATCCATCAAGCACTTGTTGAGAGCCCGCTTGTCTCCAGTGTATGCAAGCAATACGGAAAAGTGGGTTGCGCGTGTAGCTCTACATACAGCCATTATCTTCAGTATCTGGATCTATTTGCAAAATGTCAAAAACTTGCATCAGAAAAAAACGTCTCTGATAATTCTTTAGGACAAGTTTTAAGACGTGCATGACCTGAGAAATTGCAGTACTGCCCCTACCATCCCTGACAGTTCCCAGCTGTTCAGATCGAAATGTCGGTTCACGGGTACCTGTGGGGAACAACACCGTAGCCTCCTTGATTCCACTTCTTAAATAGGGCCCCACTTTTAAGCCTTTCTTCTCTTCCAATAAAAACTTACCTATAAATATGGCTGCTTTAAGAAGTAAACCCTTTAGCGGGCTGGTGGCCAGAGAGACCTGATGCAGCTAGCCATGCCATGGTGTTCACAATCGGTAAGATTTTCGTAGTGTTCCCTTCTGCCTTCATTGTGCTATACTATGTAGTAGACATTATATTCCACCAATTATTAACCTAAAATTTCTTAGAATTTTATAATATGTAACTTAAAACATATATCGCATACAAATATCACATAATGTCCTGTCACAGTGACTATCACATAATTTATAACCTTGTACATCAGTGGAAAGTGGCCAATTTGTTACTCTCAAACCTGTTGCATATTATATGCAATTTCCCAACAAAACCACTCAGGAAAACTCAATTGGCACACAAATGTGAACCTATGAGGAGACAGGATACATATAAGTGACACAGTCAGTGAACAGAACAACAAATTGACTGACTCAAGAGACCAGCCACATTTGGTTGTCTTCATATCTTCTCATGTTGTTTCTTCTTTGTTCTCTATGACAGATGCTGGATGGTTCCCCCATTGAAGTGACCCTAGCCAAGCCAGTGGACAAAGACAGTTATGTTAGGTACACCCGAGGCACAGGCGGAAGAGGCAGCATGCTGCAAGGAGAGTACACCTACTCTTTGGGCCATGTTTATGATCCCACCACGACCTACCTTGGAGCTCCTGTCTTCTATGCTCCTCAGGCCTATACAGCAATTCCCAGCCTTCATTTCCCAGCCACCAAAGGACACCTTGGCAACAGGGCCATCATCCGAGCTCCTTCTGTGAGAGGTAACGCTCATCAGCTCTTGCCCTAGAATAACTCTACAATTTCAAATGATTTGTACTGCAATAGCCTTAGACAAATTAGATAGGCCCACCGGGAGAAAAGGACTGGGAAATTGTTTTAGAATAATCAAGTGTTATTTTATCAATAGTTGCTCTTCCGTAAAAAATCTTTTTTCACATTACAACTGGTTATTGAAAAAACTTGGTCAGAACCTAGCAGAACTGAGTCTAATGCGTACATTTGATCTTACACGGACCTGCAAAATTTGTGCAGACTAAGTAGTTAGCTTCTCCCTTGCATTGGAGCACCATACTGCAGTCATATGTGACTCATTAGAAAACTTCCAAGTGAGAGCAGGGTGGTCCAATGGAAACCAATTATCTCAAATCAAAAAACATGTCAAGGCATGTGTGTATTTGATGGTAACTCAGTGGCATTATATTCCTACATAAATCACAGATTATCGGAAACATATTCTAACAGATATTTGAGATACTCTCACCTGACCTCCCCTAGGAAATGCATGCTATGCCTTCTAAAAAGCCACACTATTGAGAAATCAACCTATTTCTCCAGGCTATGGGGAACTAGATAGTAACGTCCAAATGGAAAAAAGACCAACTACCTAGCAACACATCTTTCCTATGTAATCCTACAAAAATTCCTAATGTTCAAGAAGTTCCTCAGCTCAGTTCAATATAGACAAGGAGAGCATTTCTTTATTTCTAGTAAACTAGTTTGTCTCTGACTAATGGGATACTTCAGAATAGTTCTGCTAGGACAGAGTTAATGCCAAAAGAATCCCAGTTCTATCTTCAAGTTTGACACCATTCTGGGCAATTTGACAACAAACTGTGTATTTAACTCTATCCTTGAGTTTTACTTGGAAGCAAAGGGGCATGTCCAGATTACTGGGAAAACAATTATCTTACTGGGTTTTACTGTTTTTCAGGAAAACCGAATAGACCAATCTAGGATCTCTAGTCGTCAGGAGCCTTATAAGTTCCATAATCATAATAAAATCATTCCACCCAAAATTATAATGCAAAAGAAATCATCAGGTTTTCCTCTAGGATAACCTATGTTTGTCATGGCAAATTATATCATTAACTTATTCTGCATTTATATTCTGAAATCATATTATTAAATAATTCGTACGTTAAATATAAATTGTCAACCAGTTGTAATGTAGGAAAAAAACAAACTCCACTCCAAGGGAAAAAATACTTTATAACCAGAAAGGAATCAATGAATGATATTCATGGGTAATCAATTTAATTTTTTTATCACTTTACACCACTAATAGGAAATCAAAGTAGCAACATGGTAAAACAAAAAAATCAAAAGGAATCTATTAATGAAACTCAATGGAAATTTAAGCCTCACATTGTCTGAACGTGAAACAGAAAATAGCAAACCTATAAACACATTTTCTAAATGTTCAAATGTTTCCCAACTGATCACTGGGGATGGAATTATTGAGGAAGCCAGAACTCATTTCTGATTTACTGATCAATAATAAAAATGCAAGACTTATTTTAATACATGTGGCCATACCATCCTGGGATGTTTAAATACCTTCCCAACGTTCATGAGTCAGTAGAGAAATGTCAACAAAAGGTCAACCAAAGACAGAAATTGCAAAATTTTGTTCTGTGCCAAAGTTTTAAAGTTGCTCATGTACTTATTGATAGCTTTGAGGGGATGGCTTTCTTGCACAGACAGTTAAAAAAAAAATGCAAGACACCTATGGTGAGCCCTACATTATGTTGAGTTTCATTTCATTAAAACCCTAGAGTTTTCTATGCATCTTCAGGGCAATTATCAATGTGACTTGGGCTAACTTTTCCATTACAGTAAGATTCAGGGTGATTTTCTGGTGGTTTGATTCAGTTTAATGCCTTCTTACGTTCCTAGAAATTTACATGAATGTACCTGTAGGGGCCGCGGGAGTGAGAGGACTGGCCGGCCGTGGCTATTTGGCCTATACAGGCCTGGGTCGTGGATACCAGGTCAAGGGAGACAAGAGAGAAGACAAACTCTATGACCTTTTACCTGGGATGGAGCTCACCCCAATGAATCCTGTCACTTTAAAACCCCAAGGAATTAAGCTTGCTCCCCAGGTAGGTAATACTATTCTAGAGGTAGTTTCCTTAAGTTAAGCCAAAGACCAACATCATCCACCTTTCATCAAATGATTTGATTTGATCCAAACTTGGGCTATTGCCTTTGGTTTTGTTAAATAAAGTGGCCAATCAACATAACATACACTGAGAGAATGCTGGCTGTTAAGTGCCACTGTTCCATCATCCTCTTTCTTAAAAATGAAGTTTGACACCCTAAATAATCTGAACAACTGGAATGTGAAGATCCTGAGAGCAATTAGGAATTATCAACCAATACCTTAAATGAAAACAAAATGATGCAAAGACCCTAATTCAAAATAAATGCATACTGTGTATCATTTGGTTAATGAAGGATCTTCATGACAGGGAACATATAGACCCTTAGGATATCTTTTATTTGTGTTTAAAAAGAGAGGACACTTTACTATCCATGGTGATATTATTGCTTGTATTAACTGTGAAATGCCATCACTTATATCAAATCAGGTCTCCTACGGAGATTACAATTTAGGCAGGGGCATGATGGTGAAGTTTTAATGCTTTCATTCCCCAGCTCCAAGTTTCCATGTTTCTGCATGAAGCTGTGGTTTTTATTATTGGAAAATTAGGAGTTATAAAAGCTATTCCAGGGTGGAAAGTGAATAACAGGGTTAAAAATAAAATAAAACAGGATCTCTGTTAACGCTTAGCCTCTTCTCTATGGGTGTGCGGTACATGTCAGGCTCTCTGTAGAGATGCTGGCTGAAGAAATCTTACCCAGTCATTCTGAGGTACGGTTTAAGGACTCTCAAGGAAATGTCCCTATTCCAGGCGCAAAAGCACAAGCCCCAAATGTATGGAGGTAGCCTTATGATCGCAATCAAGTAGGAAACATGGCTTTCTAAAAGCTCATTGTGAGTATTATTTTTTAGGGTCAATGGCTCTCTTATGCATACAAATGAGTTCATCTAAGGTTTCTGCTCACCCTACCCAGGCAATCAAAAGTAAAGAAGCCTAGCAGAGTGGTAAACAGCAATCACTTGTTTGTTCAAAAGCCATTTCTTGGGCATCCATCAGGCACCAAGTATTGTGTTGGGTGCTGGGCATGGAAAAGGGAATATAATGGAATCTTTGCCAGGAAAAATCATATGGCGATCCAGGGAGAAGATAGAGACACATAAAAAGATCATCATTATAAACTCTAATAAGTGTCCTGGTGGCGCTTTGCTCAGAAAACACAAAAGCTTGTCATCTAGTCTATCTTGAGTTAAAATGCAAAATAAAGAACCTTGTTAAGGACCTAGAATACTTAGAAATCTTTTAAGAAAATAAAAAATAATTATTATTATATATTCCATATAATAGTTCAAAGAGCTGCCATAGTGTGAGGAATCATCTCTGCTTCTTCTATTAAACCCAGGTTAGAAATTGGTCATGGTTTATAGTGATAGGTAAGTAACCACCTCTCTCAACTGATGAAAAAGTTCTTCAATTAATTTGTCTCTGAATCTCTATAAGCACAGCTTAGAATTTAAAGGCTGTGCCAACAACCCCAACCAATGCATATGGAACCTTAACAATGCCATGGGGGAGTCATGAATGTCCAACTAGAGCAGCAAGACAAGGGTGCCCAGCAGAGTCAGGAGTTAAGAGTCTGTCTTCCTTGAGTCCTGCCCAACAGGCAGGTAGACTGTCTGCCAACTAAAGCAGTCTACTAGAGCCCAGGGACCTTAGGGAATGCTTTGTAGATGGCAAGAGATGCTACAAAATCAAGAGGATTAGCTGATAAAAGTCAGTAGAGGAGATAGGAGCAATCTACAAATTTAATAAGCTGGAAAATGCTCTGCCATTGCAGATTAGTGTCGTAACAGATGAGATAAGAAGCTCCATCAACTCAGCCCAGGAGTCACTGTCCTGCCCCAAAGTCTTCTTCCTTTCAGACTTATGCTCTGTTTTGCACAGTTTCCTGAATCTTCTGACTCATAGGAGTATCAGGGCTGGTGGGCCACCAAAAATGGCTTCAGGATGAAAAAAAAAAATGTGTGCCTTTAGATAAGATTCAGTTTGGAGTAGTAATAAAGGCAGAAAAAAAAAAAACACGCAGGAAGATTCTAAAATTCAGATCATTGTAAAATTAGCCAGAAGTGGTATTTTGCCAAACAAAGACATTGCAGTTGTCAACATCCATCTATTAATGCTCATCAGTAAGTAGTAACCATTAAACTTTTTAACTCGATCTTTTTTATGAAAATGTGAAGTTAAAATCCTATGGCAAATGACATGAAGTAAGAATATGTTCTTAGGTTATTTTCTCTAAACCATTATAAAACAGAAGGGTAGAGGGTAGTAATGAGGAAATCCAGCCACACGGTGCTGAAAATGTCCATTTTTTTAATGGGACAAATATATCAAACAAATCATAAATTTAAACTATTGGTTAAAAAAAAGTTGCAGCTAATGGACTAAACTAAAACATATTAGAATAAATGGTGTGAAAATGATTTTTACGAATTAATCTACATCACATTTTAAATGGAGTTCAAGTTGAGTTCATCTTAAATTTTATGAGTCATTAAAACGTGGCATTTTATATTTTTCTTACATTAGCTTAAATACTGAAGATTAGAGTTTAAGACCCTGAAAGCTGGAGAAATAATGCAAATGTGACATTTGAAAGGGAAATCACTTCTTTTTACTCTTGTAGATATTAGAAGAAATTTGTCAGAAAAACAACTGGGGACAGCCAGTGTATCAGCTGCACTCGGCCATTGGACAAGATCAGAGACAACTATTCTTATACAAGATAACCATTCCTGCCCTGGCCAACCAGAATCCTACAATGTGGGTAACATCTCCAAATTTCTAATCCTTCAAGCTTTTTAGAATAAGAGTTTCTTAGAAGTTAAGTGTATCTTATCACTATCCAAATAAGAGAGACATTTCCATGTACTACTTGCTCGTTTTTCATTAAACGCCAATGTTGAGATGTGTAGTTGGGGTGTCCATGCCAGCTGAGAAACTGGTATCTCTGGGGCCCCGGATTTCACACAATGAAGAGTGTGTAGTATTATCAACAAATAAAAAAACTGCCAACATAAAATGGAACAGGGATGAAAACTATAGCCTACTCTCTTATCTGTGTCGGTGTTTAGGTTGAACCTTGGGGAGTAGCCATTTTGTATAAACAACACCACGCCCGGCCACTTACATTTTTGGGTCAAAGATCTTCTCTGTTGGTGGGGATCACCACCCCCAGCCTGCATTCCTACACATTGTAGGAACCATCCTATTTCCCCTGTGCGTTGAGTTGCAGGTGTGTTCCAGGAACCTGCCATCCACTGCTAGTGTCCTGGGGCAGGTCACGAATGCTCCTCTGTGCACAGACATGTGGAAGTCTTAAATGCAAGGAGAATGCAACCCAGCCACATAAAAGTCCAACATCTGCTCATCTTAACACACGAGTAACGCCTTAGGTTTCCTCCCATCTCAGCACCTCAAATGTAATGCCTGCATGTGCCTTCCAGCCACCCCTTCACGCCTCCGAAGCTAAGTGCGTACGTGGATGAAGCAAAGACCTACGCGGCAGAGTACACCCTGCAGACCCTGGGCATTCCCACCGATGGGGCCGACGCCCCCACCGCGGCCGCCGCCACCACCTTCCCAGGTAGGGGAAGTGGGGCCCCGGATGGCACCCTGCCCACAGTGTTTGGGAAACCCTCCCTCGGTACCATGACCTCCAGGACCTGTTTCTGAGCTCTACCCACAATACAGATTTACACCATCTATGACCAAAAGCACTTGCCAGATGAGTGAAGCATCGAGATGGGAGATGAGAGGAGTGAGCAGGGAACAGAAGGGGGCCTAGTCTCAGCTCCACTCCAGCAGCTGCGTGACCTTGAAAGGGCCAGTCTCTGCATCTGGGTGGGTTGAGTTTTTAACTTCTAGTAAGGGAGTTTAGAACTACCTGTTAGCAGTTGTTTACCTAAATGCTTACTAAGGAATGTGGCCAAGGTCAATTGACTTTTAAGGAGTCCTTGGACTCCCTGCACAATTCTCATCTTTGACTCGACTTGACTTTTATTGCTTTGCTTTCTAAAAGAAATGTGTGCATCATATTTTTCTTATGTTGGTTTTTTTTAAAAGATTTTATTTATTTGTTCATGAGAGACACACAGAGAGAGGCAGAGACACAGGCAGCGGGAGAAGCAGGCTCCATGTGGGGAGCCCCAGGGTCACAGGGTCACGCCCTGAGCCAAAGGCGGACGCTCAACCACTGGGCCACCCAGGCGCCCTCTAAAATTGTTTTAAGTCAAAAACTGTGTGAGAGAGAGCAACACAGAGAGAGAGAGAGAGAGAGAGAGAGAGAGACAGAGCCTTTCAGTATGTGGATGATCAGCTCTCATCTATCTGTCCCATGATTTTGGCCTAGAGCGCAGGCTATTCGCACAAAGCCCATCTGTAGGTGGACATGCCTTCAGGGCCACTTTTTTTTTTTTTTAAGATTTTATTTATTTATTCACAATAGACAGAGAGAGAGAGAGAGAGGCAGAGACCCAGGCAGAGGGAGAAGCAGGCTCCATGCACCGGGAGCCCGACGTGGGACTCGATCCCGGGACTCCAGGATCGCGCCCTGGGCCAAAGGCAGGCGCTGAACCGCTGAGTCACCCAGGGATCCCCCAGGGCTGCTTTTAAAAGACTTTTTTCCCCGTTTGTTATGTACCTACAATAAATGCTAATAACTTTAAAAAAATGAACCCTCTAGAGATTAAAAGTGACCGGACAAGAGATTTGTTTTGGAAACTTTTCCTTAGCCTTTAGTTTGAATAACCCCATTCTTTTTTAGCAGGAAAAGCTCATTTCTTTGGGAGAAATCAGCCACTGCGGCCTGTCACTGTGTTGGCCTGCCTCCCTTTAGACCAATTCAGAGATCTGAGTGGACCCCGAAACGGGGCACTTCTATTGATCCACTGGTGCCCGTATTGGGCACGCACGGGTGTGACAGCCGCGGTGTCCCCCCCATCCGGAACACCTAGGCCCTTACTCTCGTTTTCTTGGGTTTCTCAAAAACTGCAAACACGTTTTCCATTCTGGCAAGTAACCACACGTCACACGCGGACACGACCTCAACTCCAGCTTTATCCGTAGAACGCGGAGAAGTTGGGCCCTGCACCCCCACGAGGTTACCAGGGCGACAGGTGCCACCGCCAAGGGCAGGGCCCCTGAGCCTTCCACAGAGCGGGGTGTTGACATGTCCGTCTAACGGGGACCCCGTGGCCGGGCTTCTTGGTTCTTGGAGAAGCCGGAGCCCCTGTCTCACGGGAAGCTGCACCCCAAAGACAGCTCACAAATGTGCTATAAAAACACATAAGCCGCTGTCACAATTTTACGGTTCGCTTGCACGTTGGAAAGGATTTGCTTTCACCTACGAATGTTTGGTCTTGTCCTCACTTCTGTTTGCTCCTCCAAGAAGTAAAAAAAAAAAATATCCGGGGCATGAGAGTGGTCTTGGGAAAGCCTAAGGAATTGAGAGCCTCTCGTAACGTTGCTGTGGAGTCGAGCAAAGAATAATAGTCTCCTGGGGAAGAATCTGTTGAGAATCCAAATACTCTTGCACTTAAGAAAGTAGCCAAACTGAAAGAAGACAATTCAGAACCCCCCACGATAAAATCTACACCACACAGGCACACACGCACCCCTCTTACAGATGTGTATTTCTTTCTCGCTTACTTAGAAACGCTATTTCCAAAATTATGAAAGTAATTGGTAGCACATTTTTCATATCCTTGGAAAACATACCAAACTTGAGTAGTGCATTAGTCAGCATTACTGGCCAAAGTGCACAAGCCAAGGAGTGGATTTAATTAAAAAAAAAAAATAGTCCAGCCAGCTTCCTGCCACCACTTCCTGAGAAGCCACCAGAAAGAAATCAATGTGTCTGGGGTTGGGATGACGGCCACAGCACATAAACCAAATGGACAAGGGTTTGTTTTTTTTTGTTTTTTTTGTATGGTTTTTGTTGTTGTTGTTGTTTTAATCAGGTCCCCCATTTGTTGCTTAAGTAAATTTCCCTCTTTTTCTTGCCATCTTCATATTTTTTGGATCATGTCAGAAATGGCTTAATTTTGACCTAAAACGTTAACAGGGAAACAGCTGCATTTATATAATAGCACTTATTATGCCCTTTTCTGTAAAAGTGAATGGCAATCAGACAGACGTGATCCTAGTGTGACCGCACATGATGCCCTCCTTACCACTCAGACCCTTGGCTGTCTGGTGGCGAAGACGAGCATCATCTGAAAACACCTCACACCTCACCAAGTTGGTGGTGAAGCAAAATGGTCTTGCCCTTCACAGTGGGGTCTACATGGAAACAGGCCAGGTATCTGCTTTCAGGGTGCTGTGTAGAAGCACACTGAAACTTGCCATATTTCTCCTACTGGTCTACCCAGGCCCTCTAGGTCCTTCTTGGGAAAGGGCAATGGTTTTCAACATTTCATTTAGGTGGGGGAGTGGGTACAGAAGCCGACCCCCAGAGCCCCACCCCTCAGCCCTGCCAACCCATTGATCGCCTCCCCTCCTTTATAAACTCTGAGAGCCTCTGAAAAAGTTCTAAAATCTCAAGCTTTGATCAACTTGGCATCCTGTTAGGTTTCTGTTTCTTGGACTCCGTCCCTAGTGTTTCCAATTTTCTAAGCATGCGGTGGTTCTGGCACACGTGGCTGACCTCACTTTGAGGAACGCTGCCTGTCCCCTAGTCAATGAGTCTAGCTTCTATGTCCCGAGTTCACTTTTTAAGATGTACATATTGACTTTTGGCCTGAAGTGGTGTTAAATTTTCAAATTCCAAAAAAGTAGACAATAAGCCAACAGGGAGCAAATGTGAATGGCTTTCGATGAAGTTTTCTCTGCCTCCTCCTCCAGGATACGCAGTTCCCAATGCAGCGGCGCCTGTGTCCGCAGCCCAGCTCAAGCAAGCAGTGACCCTTGGACAAGACTTAGCATATACGACATATGAGGTCTACCCCACTTTTGCAGTCACTGCCCGAGGGGACGGATATGGAGCCTTCTGAAGATATCTTTCTTTTAATTTAAGACACACAAAACTCTATCTAGAAGAAATAAACCTCTCACTGAGTTTCCTTATGATCAGAAGTCATACTTTTTCTAAAGGGATGCCCTTCCTGAGACCGTGCAGCTTATGCTAATTCTAGAGTCATGACATGAGGACATATTCCCTGTGAAATGTGATGTCAAGAAGCCTTTTGCTTGAAGAAATCTTAAGAGCCAGTGCCCCCCAAAAGTTATTTCTCCCAGGTTCCTGAGTGACGTGGGCATGCATCGACATGAAGAGAGATCTTTTAACCAGCAAATGTTCAGGGGGCTGAGCAGACCTGGCCCGGCAGGAGCAACAGAGGGAGGCAAGTAAACTCCAGAGTCTTAACCCCAGCTCACAGCTGCTTTTGTGATCCACGAAGTCACAGACAGGAAGGGGGAGGGTGGAGGATGCTGTCAGAAATGCCTACCCCGTTGCCCACCGCATGGGCATCTCCATCTCAGGTCAGAACCTATGAAAGACAGCCCAAGATTTGATGGGGCCAGCATCACTTCAGGTGTAAAATCCTACCTCCTCTATCTGTCCTAGGCCCTGTCACCCACATCCCCTGGGGACCTCCTGGAATTCAATGTGATGTGTTACAGATAAGGATAAAATGAATCCAAGCCTGTTTATTAAGCTCATCAGCCCACACCTCTTCTTCCCTGGAGCACCTACCCTTCCCAAGGATCCTCCAACACAATAATCATCCCAACTTAAAATGGCTTCTCATTTCAAACATTTTGACTCGTCCACATGGATTTGTTTTCCTACCAGTTTCATTTTGCTCGTATCTCGTGCCATAAAAAAAAATAGCACATCAAATATACAGACTATCACCTAGGATGCTTTTTCCTATTCAGCAAATGGGTTGTAAAGTCATTTCAAACAGAGACGTGAAGATCTACTCTCATTTTTTGGTCTTCTTGCAGCACCCAGACCAGCATCCAGCATTCAGAGACAGTTGGGGCTGGCCTTGGACTGTCTAACCCCTTATATGAAATCTGCCAAGAAATCCTCTGCCTTCCCTTCCTTCTGTTTTCAACAAGTGTCAGACAGCTTTACAATATCTGAGTCCTTTGGTCTTGAAGGCATCACAGAAAACCTTAAACTTGCCACTGCTGATTAGAAGCGGATTCTTAGACTCCCAGCAAGGATGTTAGTGACCAAAGTCCCATGGGCTTAGGGCCTCTCTGCAGAAACATCTCCTGGGGATGTAGGTGCTACAAAAACTGGGGTTGGAGGGAGCAGAGGCACTACTTTCTTGCCATTCTTGTAAATGACTCTTTTTGTTCAAAACAGAAACAATCGAGGTCTGAACTCCAAACACCTATCACTACTGCTTCTGTCTCATTCGTGGTTTAAGACATATGGTACCAGAATTTCCGGGGGGAAAAAAAAATCCCTTGGCCCTGGTAAAATTCTACAGGACTCAAAGGGAAACATAAACCCAAAGACAGAAAAATTTGTCAACTCTTGAATGGACTCCTGGGATTCAACATCAGCCCAGATTCTAGTCAAAATTGGCTCAATTCCAATAATCATTGCAAGTCCTTGTAACTGTTCAGTTCCATTAAGTCCATTCAGATAGCAAAGACCTCAAGGCCGCAGCTCACACTCTGAAAGGTTCGGTGCTTTTGGCTTTACATTTTGCAGCTCAAACTCCGGAGGCCAGTGGTTCCTGAGCTTGGCTGTGCATTAGAAACAGCTGGACTACCTTGCAGAGCGCATGACAAGATGACGCCTGGCACCCATTAGGTAGGGTACCATGGGGCAGGAGCCTGGCCTCAGTGTTTCAAGATCTTGGGTGATTTCAATGTGCAGCTCACTTTGGGAACGGCTCCGGTCTGTCCATTTCCAGCCAACCCTTAATGTTTTCTTTAATTTATTTCACTTTCATTAAACAGAAAAATGCAAGAAAAAAATCTGTCTAAGGCAAAACGGATAGCCAACTCATAGTTTTGCAAATATTCATCTCATAAGACGTACAAACTCGAATATAATTCACATTGGCTTCAAACTAACTCTTGGACCAAACGAATATTTTTAAATGAGAAAGTGAAAAATTCTCCCATCAGCAGTTCTGAGGTCCAAATCTACATTCCGGCACAGACCTGCTTTTATACTCAGAAAGAATAATGACCTTGGGGCAGGCAAGTTCCTACTTAGTCCAAAAAGGCATTCCAGATTCCAAGAGTGAAAGTTTTAATGTTCTTTAAAAATCTTCAAATATTGAAAACACTGCTCTGCATGTCCAGCCAGTGCCAAGTCGAAGGTCTGATCCAGAGGAGGTTTAAATTTAATCAGAACGGACAATTAGTTAATATGGGAATCTCTTACGAGAAAAAAGAAGCATTATTCCAGATTAAATCATCATAATTTTTTTTTAAGGTTAAGAACAGAAACCTAAATATACAAAAACGGCAAATTATCAAGAAAATTGCTATGGGAACACCCTTGCTTAAGGAAACACAAGTATTTGTACACTAACCTCCTAAGGACTGATTTTATTCAAGTGAGTAGAAGTGGTTTTAGTAAGATCTAGAAAATATTCTGAATTCCATTAGAACATACTCATAGGAAGTATCAATGTGTCTACTGTGCCATCCGTGTGTATTTACTTTGTCCAAATTAAGTAATGGAGAGCAACTACAGAGCTCCACAAACTCATTATACGGCTCTAACGAGTTTGAAACTTCAAAAAATAGGATTGTTAAAAATCATGTGTGGAACCAAAGGCTTATTTTGCGTGATGTTTATGTTTTTGGACTTTGGAAATTCTTGTGCATCGACATCTATTTTTTTGTTGTTATTTCTTACTTTATTGCTTCCTAGGGGGAAAAAAAGACTCTTTATAGAGGAAATTCAAATGAGTCAGCCAACCAAAAATAAAAATAAAAATAAAATGAGTCAACCAACCAAGTGATAACAGAATACCCAAACCAATAATTTAGAAGCATCTAGTAAGTTAGAATTGAGCTTCTAAATTTTGGTAATGAAAAGCTTAGTGAAAATTAAAAATCAACTGTGAGATGAGACATTTATTTTCTTACCTGTAAAAATGCTGCCTATTCTCAAATTGCTGTGCTTGCTTCCCACCCCATTCCTATCACTAAAAGACCATCTTTAAGTTCCACCCCTACCCAAACCTGGTATCATGCCAAACCACACCATGTTTGGGTAAAAGCACCCAAAATGCTGCTAGAAAGCTACCTCGTGTTAAGAAAACACTGACTTCGACAAATCCCTAAGAACCACAGTTCTTTGACTTTTTAATGATGGATGGAAATCACACTATAGCTATGTCTTGACAATAGTTACTCAGGAAATTAGTTTTAGTTTTACTTAAAAGTTTAAAAGAAAGAATACATACGTTCTTCCAATCACATAGACTTTTCTTAGTTTTCCATAAATATCACCTCCAATAACGTCTGACGTATATTCATTTTCACGCTATTTTTCAATAACTATTTTATAGTTCAGTCTTGGCTCACAGGGTCACAGTGTGAATCCATGGGGGACGGGGCGGTTCTCCGGGGTGCCTTTCTCAGGAATAAGGGTCAGTAAAGAAAGTATTGCAAGTAAATTGTCCTTGTTACGCAAAGCTACGAAGAAGTCTGATAAAATGAAAATGTATCACTGCTGCGTGACTCCAGGCCTACCCAAGATGTTCCAAAAGCAACCTACAACTAAACGTGAACAATGACCCCCAAGATAATATGAATTATCCCCTCCTCGCATCCATACAGAAATTCCCAGGAGATGAAAGGTAACTTGCAACTCAACCTGGAGACCTGGCACTTTTTCATATCTCTTCCAGATACATTTTTATGTATCAGAGATACAATCTGTTCGAGATGAAACTAAGCTTCAACTGTGACACTTTTAGTGAACTTTGTGATCCTGTTGAAAGAAAATATTCCTATTAACAGCATAATTTAGGAATTTGAATGTACCATGGAAAGACAGAGAAACATTCCTACCTGACGGGCAATAGTGATCTTCCTGTTTCTGTACTTCTTTTCTTACTCTTTCATTATTTTCTTCACTAATATTAAGAACTAAGCGAATCCTAATCTTCTATTGCTATAAACCCACAAGCTCTACCCCGTAGGGTGTATGATCATTCTGTATTCACTACGCACCTTCTCTAACGCCAGGAACTATGAATGTGTGAGCGGTGTGTGCGTATTTCCACAGCGGGGTACGCGGTCTGGTGATCCATTCTGCGTTTTTATAAACTGAATATGATTGCACTTAGGTTCACCAGTTGGCAGCTCATTTCACTTAGTCAGAATCCCCACCATGAAATCAAACTCTGTTCTAAATTTTAAGATTCAACTATTATTGCCAAATACTAGCTGGACACCGTAAGTCCTTTTAGAGATTCATTTTAACTCTTCACCTATTATTACTGCTGTTCAAGTAAAATGAGTCTTCAAGTATGTTCCCCAGGAGAAATACAAAAGACAGTGTAAAAAATAAAAAAAAGAAGGAACGATTTTTTTAGAGGTCCAGAAGCTTTAAAACATGCGACTGACAAGTTCGCATGCTGATTCGTGATGTTAAAGAGCAGGTACTCAAGCTTGGCTGTTCTCTTGAACACATTTTGGTTATTAACTATTTTTGTTTTTTTTTCTTTCTTTTTTCTTTTTTTGTTTTCGAAATATACTCGTGTTTATAAAATTCAAAAATCTTCTTAACAAGCCTCATGTATATGTTTTGCAATAAATGACCTGCAATGAAGTATACATGTTCTATTCAGATGTACATTTTATTTTGAAATTTGGCACTTTCCACTGTAATTCCTAAGAGATCTGGGGGATGGTAGGATAAGAGCCGCAGATAAGTGTATTGAAATCAATCTATCGTTATCAGGGGTTTAAATGTTTGATGTGATTATTGGTAATTTTGTTTCTATTCCTTCATGAGTTTTTTTTTTTTCCTACTTTTCTGCCTGCAGTAGAGCCAGGTATCATTATTCCCTGCCAACAAAAATAATACTGTCGGCAATATGCATTTCTCTTTTCCAGGTGTTTAACCATCTTTTGCTTCTTGTCCTTTTTTGTTATTAATGACTTTATTTATGTGACGTTAGTTAGCTGAGGTACCAAAAGAGAGAGAGAGATTAAAAACAGTATTAAAGAAGGTGCAAAAGGCACTTATTTTTGTACTCTGAGTACAGTATTTTATAGAACTCTGGTCGGTCTAAATATACTAAGTAAAATTACAACATCCGTTCATTGGGAAAATGATCATTGGTTTGGAAGATGTAAACATAATGGTACCACAGGATCATAAATCACATGAAATGAAAGGTAATGCAGTATTGTGATGACTCGTGTAATTTCAAGATGACAAAGTGGTTTCAGTTGAATTTTCAAGTAACATTATAAAGTTTTAAAAGTATCAACGTGAGTTGCTGATTTCTTTTTCTTCTTTCCTGAGTGCTACAGTTTTACTCCTTTGGAGTAAATAGTTAAATATTAATGACCTAACATTGCAGGTATTTTTTTGGCCATTTCTTTACATTTGCATCTTTTATGAAAGTGCCCTCTGTGCCTCTCCTGAGGGTAGAGGTAACGTTTAATAATCAAGCACATTATTTCCCAGTCAATAAAGAAAACAAGAGTAGTACTCAGAAAGTGCAGATAGTGAGAAAGCATGACTCCAGCAAGGTCTGTGGGCTCTGAGGCCAACATTGGCCCATCCCTAATGGACAAGAACCCAGATCAGAAACCAGCCCTCCAGGCCCTGAACCCACTGCTATGTGTTCTGTTGGTCCTTGAGCTAGGAATGGTTGTGATCTTTTCAAAGGACTGAGCCAAGACATATTTTACTTTTTTTTTTAAGATTTTATTTATTTATTCATGAGAGAGAGAGACAGAGAGAGAGGCAGAGACATAGGCAGAGGGAGAAGCAAGCTCCATGCAGTGAGCCTGATGTGGGATTTGATCCTGGGTCTCCAGGATCATGCCCTGGGCTGAAGGCAGGCACTTAACCCCTGAGCCACCCAGGAATCCCCATCTTTTACATTTTAAAAGGCCATTTAAACATAAAGGAAGACAAACCAGGAGAGACTCCTAACTCTGGGAAACAAAGGGTCCTGGAAGGGGAGGTGGGCGAGCGTAAGGGGTGACTGGGTGACGGGCACTCAGGAGGGCACTTGATGGGATGAGCACTGGGTGTTATACTATATGTTGACAAATCGAACTTCAATAAGAACAAATTAAAAAAAAAAAAAGCTTTAAACATAAAGGAAAAATCTGTGACAAGACCCTAGGTGGCCCGTGAGGTCTAAAATATTTACCACCTGGCCTTTTGCAACAAGTTCCCCCAAACCCTGCACCAGGCCAACCCCGCATATTTCTGCTTCTATCGCAGGTAGCCCCCCACTTCTAAGTACTAAATTCCGAGTTAGTTAGGACTGGGTCTGGCTGCCAGGGACAGCAGTGGCAGTGGCTTGCATAAGGTAACTATTCGCTGGCCCCCAAAAGTCCCAAAAGGTAGTAGGATGTGGGTATAATGCTTCAGGGCATTAGGAACAGAAGGTCTTCCTTCCCTGTAAGATCTGACCTCAGGGCTAAGATGATGGCCTGTGCATTCCAAATACAAGGACAGAGGAAGGGTAAGAGGGGAGAGGGAAGGAGCCCTAGCTAGCTCTCCCTTAAGGAGACCGACTGCCAGGTGCCACACTTCCCAGGGGCTTCCATCCCCTCCCCCCGGCAGAGCCCAGCAAGGGCCACACCCAGGGACAAGATGTGGAAGGTGGTCCTCATCTGGGTGACCATAAGGAACTCTTCTGCTGGGGAGGAATGGAATAATGGGTACTGCAGGGCAACAGCAGGGCCTGTCACAACCCCTGCCCCAGGAAAGACATGAGGGTGAGATGAACCAAAGCACCTGAGGTCAGCAGGCCCTGGGCGTGGCACCCCCTTCTTTCCCCAACTAGAAGGAAGCTGTCAGTTTGTCTCAGAATTTCTCGGAGTCTAGTCACCCATTGAAGGCACATTTGTGGTAGGGACAGTGCCCCGGGTCCCACCGCCTGGTCTTAACCCCACTGCATAACCTCCTCCCCTGAAGGCAGGCTGCATCTGGGGGCTGGCCTCTGATGGATAGAATCGGATAGCACGTCTGAGATGAGGTTATAACAGAGTATGCTTCCCAGCTCTCTGGCCTTGCTCCCTCACTGTGATGAAGCCAGCTGCTGGGGCGTGACCTGTGCTGTGCAAAGGCACGTAGGACAAGGACCCCAAGGTAGCCGACAGCCGACAGCGTGTGTGGAACCCAAGGCTGCCCCCAGCCAGGTGACCGAGCTCTGGAAGCAGGTTCAGTCTCAGTGGAGCCTTGATGGACCACAGCCTGGGTCCACACGGTGGCTGAGAGGAGGAGAGGGCCTGGAGCGCAAGACAGAGCTCTGGGACACTCGGACGTCCACCCTATGAAGCTGTGGCATCATAAGTGTTTTCTCCAATTACTGGGTTTGGGGATAATTTGCTGTGAACAATGGATAACGAACGGATACAAGAGTAAAAAGTTATAAAGTTACAGTGAACACAAGTGGGTTTAGCAGCAGAGTCACCAGAGCTATTCTGCAGAATCACAGAAACCAACCCAATTTTTTTTAAGTTTTTTTAAAAGATTCTATTTATTTATTCATATGAGACAGAGAGAAAGAGAGAGAGAGAGAGAGAGAGAGAGAGGCAGAGGGAAAAGCAGGCTCCATGCAGAGAGCCCAACATGGGACTCGATCCTGGGTCTCCAGGATCATGCCCTAGGCCAAAGGCAGTGCTAAACCACTGCGCCACCGGGGCTGCCCTAATTTAATTTTTTTTAAGTTTTTATTTTAATCCCACTTAGTTAACATCCTGTGTTACATTAGTGTCAGGTGCACAACGGAGTCATCCAACACTCAACACTTCTATACGTTACCCTGTGAAGCCAACCCAATTTCCGAATTTCTGAATGACCTGTTATTGTCAGGATCCAGGAGCATAGGCCCAGTACTAAGAAGAATAAAAGCTAGGGAAGTTGTAGATACCTCGTAGGAGGTGCTCAAAAATGCTGACTGAGGAGAAAGAAGAAAGGAAGGGAGGGATGAATGAGAAAGGAAGGGATGCAGGGGAGCAGAGAAGAGGGAGGGGAGGGAAGAGGCTAACTTAGTCCTCGCCGCATTCGCCCCGGTTCCCAGCAAGCCCATCTATCACTACTGCAGTGAAGGCATCTGGCCAAACATCAGACAGACTGTGTGCAGCCTTCCTGGCTCTGGTTTTCCAAACACTTTAGCAATTCAAAGAATTTACGGGGTTTCTGGAGGAGGTCAAAGAGCAGGAGAGAGTGATTGATGGTAGAGACTGAGTATCACGGAAAAGCAAGGGGAAGAATGCCTGCACCTCGTCCCCCAGACAGAACGGGGAGGGGAGAGAGGAGAAAGAGACCCAAAGATCCAAGAAGACAGGGGATCTGGATCCCCTCCCACTGCTGCCTAGGGTGCCAAAGACTGCAGCACCGCCTCAAGAAGGGGGCCACCAAGCTTGGCAAGTTTTTGCCCATCCCTGCCCCACTGGATGGGAGCTCAGTCAAAAATCAATTATGGAAAAAATTTTTTTAAAAAATCAATTATGGAAAAATGGCATCTAAGGTCCACCTCGACATGGTTCCAATGGTTCTCTGGAATCCCACGCAACCCCATGGAGGGGCCAGAGCACAGGCCTGCGAGCCGGCCAGAGGGCACCCAGTGGCCAATTACTAACTGCTGGAAGCCTGGGAGAAACCTGAACTATGTGATTCTGTTTCCTCATCTATTAAAGAGAAATTATAATATCTCTTCCAGAGGGCTGGGGTAAGAATGCGTGGAGATTGTGCACATTAGAGTGCTCTGCCCAGCGTCAGACGTGGCGAAAACCAAATAAAGAGATGTCGTTAGTGGTATCACAAAGTGCTATAGAGAGGATGTCGGGTTCTGATGGAAACTTCCAGGCTCACTTCTCTAAGAAACAAGGGGAAATCAGGCTCCAGGGCTCCCGGTGCTGTCCATACAAGTAACCCAACTGTCTCTTGCCCCCACGGATTACAGCGAGAAATTCTAGCAAGAGCTCGAGAACGAAAGGCAAAACTTGAAGACTGATCCATAATGGTAGTGACTTTTCTGTTATTGTTGTTATTTTCTCCTTTATTTACTTGGGATGTAACCTGAGGGTGACCTGAGTCACAAAATTTTACAAGTAGGAGCACTAAAACCTCCAAGAGAAGGCCCCCTTTGCAACCAGAGGCCCAGGAAAGGAAGAACCAAGTAGTGCAGGTGAGGGGGCAGCGTTGTCTTTGTGTTTTCTTTTCTTTTTTTTTCCTCCTCTCCCAGTCCTGCCCACCCCTGAGCTCCTTGCCAGGATGAAGCAGCACAGAGATGCCCCCACCCCACCCCAACCCAGAGAAGCCTCCTCCTTCCTGCAGAGGAGCAAGAGTCCGGAGTCAACCCTCATTTTAACCATGTTCTCTTGCCCCCATGCCCAGAGGGCAGAGCCTGTAGTGTAGAGCTTCAGGAGGACACACAGGAAGACAACACTCAGAAGCACGTCCTCTTAGCCAAAGGGAAGAGGCAAAGGAGTCCCTGGAGACAGAACATAAGAGAAATCCCAGAAAGGGATCCTGGGGAGGGGAAATTCCTCAATCTGTGTATTAATGCACATAATTCCAGGTTCACCCCACCAGGCTACACATACTCAGAAAAAAATTAAAAAGACACATTAAAGATTATGGCCAGGAATAAAGACGTCTATTCCAGAATGATAAAAGAGTTCGTTTAAAGAAGACAGAACAATCTTAAATGTTGACAACTTCACTAGTCAAGCCTCACAGCACGGGAAGCAAAGACTGAGGAGATTGAAAGGAGGACTAAAGAAATGCACGATTGTGTTGCAGATTGAAATATCACTCTCAGTGATCTATGGGACAAATAGGAAAATCCATGAAAACATGAAAGATTTGACAAATACCACCTGCTAATTTGATGTAACAGTCATAGACTGCTCCACCGGCCAACAGCAGAATATATATTCTTTTCAAATGCACAGAGAGTATTCACCTGGAGAGACCGTATGTGAGGCTGTAAAATAAATCTCAGTGAATTTCAAAGAATTCCAGTCATACAGATTCTGATCAATAGAATCAAAACTAAAAATCGGTGAAAGAAAGATATCTGGAAGGGGCACCTGGCTCGTTCACTCAGTAGAGCATGTGATCCTTGATCTCAAGGTTGGGAGTTCAAGCCCCACGTAGGGTGTGGAGCCTGGTTTAAAAAACAGAACAACAAAAAAAGCATCAAATCACTGCCCCCCCCCCCCGTCAAAAAAAGAAAGGTATCTAGAAAATACCCAAATATTTGAATACTAAGTAATATACTTTTCAAAAATAAAGGATCCAAAG